CTGGACAAAGCGGCGCGTCCGCCGGTCGGCGCTGAATAAAACTCGAGATGCGCCCGATAATGCGATGTGATGCACAAAATACTTCCTGTGCTTTGAGACGGGCGCTGGGGAACAGGCCGTTCTGGGTCCATTGTCGCCCGCAGGCCGGCCAGGACAGAGGGAGAAGAGGAAAGGAGAGAGGAGAGGGGGAGAGGAGAAGAGAGGAAACCGCTCTTCAAGTCCACGTAGAGGACGACCGGAGACTGGAGAGCAAGGCTTTCGTCGACACAGAGCACGGACAGATGACAAAAATTGGGAAGAACGAGGGCACGGACTGACTGGACAGCATTGCCTACATTGTTGACGGTAGCTCTGTGACATCCCTTGACCGGTCAGCCAGCTGATCTTACTGACCTCTACCATTCAGCCCGACAGGTCAATATGTATTACGGCCGGTAAAGTCAGGTAATGAAGGCTCTAAGGAGTCTCCATGCAGTCAGGCCGTTCGCTGCGTCCATTGGTGCTGGTTGACCGGTTTTGCGACGTTTCAATCGTAGCTGCAGTGCCAACATTCCTTGGTGAGGGTTGTTGAAGAGCTCTAATCAGTCAGCCAAGACGAAACGATGTTTAGCATTCGATAGCCTATTAATTAATTGTGGCGTTTCCGCCAACTAATTTTCATTTCAAAATTAATGGTTTTAAACTGGAAGATCGATTATCAATCATATTTTTAATCAATCCCACTCATGAAACTTCAGAAAGTGGCCGTGATATTATGTTTGTAAGCTTCCGAGTGAAATCAGCTCTTTCAGTCGCCAATCTGTTTCCTGAACTTTGTCCTCTCGAAAAGGATCGCCATCAGCCGATCGAAGCAAACATTTAGGTATCTTTGATTGCTGTCATCCGCCGGTTTATGATTTGTGTTAATTTTTGTGGCACTTGACAGCCATGTCTGTCGAAGTTTTGCCTAAACATTTTTAGCACAACCATCGGGAGTTGGAACTAAAGGAACCTTATCCCGTAAAATGATAAAATACGGCTGAAACAAAAATGTGCAAACTACATTTTACATTTCTACGGTACTTTCTGCTCAGTCGCTGAATAACATAAAAAGCAAACGCAAACATCGATAATAATTTCCTTTCTCTTTAAAATGGTGTCAGTTCGCTAGCTGTTAAACGGAAAGAGCCAGACGTGCATGGTGCATGGAATCGTGAAAATGTATCGACGGTCTTATAACACGGAGATTGATCGGATCCGATGGAATCATATATTTCTGCCCATTCTTCGTGTCAAGGAATCAATTGGGGTCATTATATGTGAACCTAAATTTTGATGTAAACACTTGATGCAATTCTCATAAGGCCTCTTTTAACGATGTTATATGATCACTGATCACGCAACATAATTTGCAGTTATGTGGCGCACACATTGAACCACCTAAATTCACGGTTCATGCAGATTGAATGTTTTGGGATCCACTCAGATAACAGATTCTTGTCCTTGGCTTGTCGTCAGATCCTTTGAGATAATATATCCGGGATTATTTTCCACGTGCGAGCCACCTGGATCATGGATCCATACTTGTATCTACCAAGGCTATTCCTACCCAGCATCCAGCATGAGTATCCACCGAGATAACAGATTTATCACCCGGATTTATGCACACCTATGTCTGTTATCTTTTGACCTATTAAGTTTTGTTTTGGAATAAACATTTCTTAACCAGAAAAAATACTGATTCTTTTATTGCCCAAAGCATACGTTCCGCTCTACCTAAGATATAAATAGTCGGTTGCATTTCACTTTACATTATTTGTTGTCTCTATTCACAAACCGTTTTCTTTTAGGTACCCTTACCTATTGTTCATCTTTCCCCGTGACTTTTCCCTCATTTTAACGAATCATGGTCTATAAAGCCGATTGGTCAATAGTCCTTTCATAGATATGCGTGGTAGATATTTCATGCATGCATTTGTACCTATTTATTTAGGAAAAAAGAAATAGGTAACACGTTTAGTGGCGGAGCGGCTCGGTGGCCCCAGCACATACGAGTAAGAAGACACCGTTTACGAGCCGGGACGTTCTGACGCCCATCCTACTCGGCCATGGGCCAGGCGGCATAGGCAGCAAGCGGAGTTAGAGAATTAACGAAGCCGCGTTCCAATTTTTCTAAATCTGGCCTTCTTGGTTATACTCATACGTGTTGACCCTGTTACTCGTCCTGGGATGGCGATGAAGGGGATGGTATGCATCTTCTGTGTGGACTTCCCAAGGGGATGAGCCCGTGGAGCTCTTAGAATTTCCTCAGGTAACTAGCGGTTTTCTGTGCACACAGCACAACTACACGACCAAGTCAGCTAGTCCGAGGTTGCAGCGGCGGCGGCGACTGCAGCTGAGAAGCCGCTGGGTCCCCGGGTCCGTCCGGCCGGCCGGCGCCGGTAGTTAATCCCATCTCACGGTGGCAGATGCCGCCGCTGCCTGGGCCGCCGTGCCAAGAGCGGGGCGGACCGGGCCGGACCGGCGCGCAGCCACCGTCACAAAGCGGCCGTCACTCACGGAAACTAATGATGATCCGAGCCGGCGTCACCTTTTGTCGCCGGCGCGCCACCTTTGTGACACCTGGAGGCACAATGCCGGGATGCGGCGCAGCCACGGATTAGAGACCTTCTGGACCGGAATCAAACCAAATGAGAGCGCATTATTTGTGGAGCCATTAGCCGGGGGTAAGGAATGATACGGGCGGCCGCTCAATGGCGCCGGAACTAATGGCACCGCGGCCGCGCTCAAAGCCGGCTCTGAGAGACAAAAATGAAATATGAAGGGTTTAATTAAGAGTCTGATTCAGCTGGCCACGCCGCCCGGCCGTAACTTGCCCGGCCGAGCCGGCGGACGTTGCAGAGAAAGCCGCGGCCTGTGAGACGGCGACCGATTGTGTGACGTGGAATGTCGGAACGATCACAGACAAGCGGCCCAGGGAACTGATAGCTCACAATCGACCCTCCTAACGGCACCGGTGACAACTGAGCGAACAGTTAGAAATGCTAATGGCCCATCACCCGTATATCAATATGCGTAGTTAGTTACCATTTACCTATAACGCTGGTAAATCAACCGTTTGCATAGTAACGACGACTGAGCTTAGGTGAAGAGAGATGCGGATATCTGAAAATTATTCAAACTTATACAAAGCAATAGCAACGCGGTGCTTCACGATCTGGGTAAACGGGCAAAAGGAGGGCTAAAATCTCGCTGAGTGAAATTTAATTGTCAAATTGGATGAACTCGATAATTGACCGAGATAATTAGTTGCCATAACAGCAAAACTACTGCGTTTGTGTGTAAAGTTGAACATACATACATCGATAACGTGGCTTCAGAGCTTCTTTGAACAGTTACGCCCTGTCTTGAGTTCAATGTCTTCCCAGTGGTTGGGTCCTCCCGTCTTCATAACCTGCTAGGTGACCGTCTCCATAGTCCCGCTGGATGATAGGGTTTCCGTTCTTATGATTCTGTTGCGGAGACGGTGTCCTACTCGTATGCTCTCGCTGAATAAACGATGACCGTCTATTATTCTACGCATTGGAGAGGTCTGCATCTCAATAATCCCGCTGTATGAACGATGGACATTTTTACATAAATGGTATCAATGAGGGAACGTGCTCAAACCTCGCTGAGGTGGCCGACCGTCTCCAAACTCCAATATAGCAATGGCTAGCCTTCAGATCCTACCAAAGGACAAACCGTAACAAAATCGCTGAGATGACCATTGACCATTGACCTTCAGGTGTCTCTCGTCACCAGACTATCTGCAGTGACCTGCCGTCCCCAGACCCGCCGAACGGACCTCCCTTCCACAAACACCGCTGGAGTGGCCTGCCGTCTTCAGGCCCGCTGAGGAGACCTTCCGTCCGTCGGGCCACTGAAATCCCTATCCCCAAACTTGCTGAAGTGAATTCCCATTTTTCCAGGCTCACTGAAATGACCTGCCGTCTCCAAACCCGATGAGTTTACCTCTCCCATGAAACCGACTCTCCCTAGGTCACCTCCTGGCCTCAGAGCCGCTACGCCCTGTGGTGTAGTTGCTCGACCTATGGTGTAGCGGTATGGTGACCTGCCGTCTTTAATCCCCACTAAGGTCACCTCTTCCAAGACCCGCTGAGGTCACCTCCAGTCTTCAGCCCCGCTAGGTTCACCTCTCTCCCCGTAGAGAGCGCTCAGGTGACCGGCCGCGCCGGTCCGCTGCTCCCGATCACCTCAGCTTCACAATGGAAGCCACAATACGTGTCGGAGGATTGTGCGTCTGACGCCGAAATTAATGCTGCCGGTGACGCGGCGCCCACCGCGGCCGTCGCGCACAATCACAGGAATGTTAATGGTTTAAAGTGCGCGCCGACCACTGAATGGCGACCGGCCGGTGCGCCAGGGGTGCCCCGGCCGCGCGGAGGACAGTGGTTGAGCCGCCGGTTCTCAGGGATCAGAGCTGGGAGTCCGCCGGCCACTTGGCCGGAGAAGGGAAGGAGCAGAGAGAGAATTATGAACTAGAGCTTTCGATTGGGCATGCATTGCCGAAAAATAGTCTTCTTGAGAGCAAAGAGCCGAGAATACACAGCCTGCAGGTTACCAGATATCGAGATGATAAGGAAAGTCGCGAAAACCTCTGTAAACCTGGAGAGAAAGCATTACGGTTGGACCGATGGCGGTCTCCCTTTGTTTCTCTTCCTCACAATCTTTCAGCCTTTCTCCTTTCTCCCTCTCCCCATTGAAACATGAGAATTCGACTGCTGAATTGCTCAGCTCGTAAGTCTCTCACTAATAACGGCCACTCCACTGTACTGCTGAAGCCGTTCGCTTCGCCCTTCGTCGTGCAACGACTGCACGCGAGGTTAAGTCCTCTCGAATGAATTGCCAGCAAGGACATTAGGTACTGCTGTTCGTTCATTCATTTTTGTAGAGCTCTAACGGTTAGTATCTCCAACTCTAGCACGGATTCTGCGCTTAAAGCGTGATTTTAATGCTTCCAGTATATTTTAGGCATTGGGCCACGGTTATTCATATTGCAAAACAACGTCATAAACTAAGCACTAGAAAATACGCCCAACTTTTACGATGAATGACACCCTTGAAAAGCGTGGATAAAAAAAGCATTGTGAAAATGCATAAAACAAGCGTCATTTAATTATGCCTGGCGTATATGCAAACATACATATTCGAAACCGACAGCTGAAATGCTGCATCTGTTTTCGCTGGGATATTTGTAGTGCCAACAACGATGCCTAGCCAGCTCACAACTCATACCAGTCGGATAGCCGGAACACCAAAGCAAAGCTGACTGGGACTGGCCTTCCCAAAGCAACTGCCCCCGGTTCAATCTATTTGCAGCCCATAGACTGGCTAGAAAGTAAATAAATGCCGGGTTCCATGACACTCGGCTGTCATCTGTTTACTGGCTGGACTGCTGCTCGGTCCGAGTAGAGCTGGTGTCCTCTCCGGCTTCGTCCGAAGTCTGGTTCTGCCTCGGTCCTAGCAATAACTTCTGTCCGGCAGGGGGTGTGGTAAGCTGACCTGACCCGAAAATCTCACAGCCCCTGAGGATGGTACGGTGCACCCGGCCACGCACCTGGCGACCCAGATACGGCGATATCTGAAAACACAACAAACATAGGTCAGATGCAGGGACATCCTGTGAGATAAGTATTTGACGATTCAAACCAGCCACTACGGGGTAAGACTTATATTAGCTATTGTGTTTGCCTGGTGTTGACGTCATATCTCATAGAGAGCCAATTTTCCCTTGCGACTTTGACGCGCGATGCTATGAGAAACTCGAAATTGCTACTGAATGTCATCAGTGTAATGTCTGCCACCTGCCTTGTTTTTGAAGATTATGTCGCCCTCAGCGATGGTCCACTCCTCCTCCGGGTCCCAGACCACCATGTCGGCGTCGAGGCCGACGCGCAGGGCGCCCTTCCGACGGCCCAGCCCGGCCAGCCGAGCAGTGGAGGCCGACATCAGTCGGCTGACGTTGTGCAGCGAGAGTCCGCGCCGGCTGGCCTCCGTCCAGAACACGGGCAGGTCTGGGGGAGACAACAGGCGAAGGATGACACAATACTCCGTCCAGAACACTGGTAGGTCTGTGCGGATATACCATATACGGGAAAATATAATTGCCCGTCCAGAACAATGGCAGGTCTGTGTGGGGACGTCAGATGCAGAATGATGCAATGTAGTTGGGGGATACTTAACTAACTTTTTCAGTTATATTGATAAGGTTAGATCAAATAGCTGAAAACCGAACCTCGTTAGCGAACTACGTAATTATAACTCTACAGCTGATATGAGACTATGGACTACTACAGCAGCTACATACGCGAAAAAACACACGAAACAATACGACATCGTACTCTGTCCAAGTCATGGTACCAGTACTTACCAAACTGTACCGAAGCGATGCCTCCCCAGGCCTCCATGAAATCCATGACTCCGGGCTGTTTGAGATCCAGCGTACAGGGCGAGTGGTCGGACACCACCATATCCACCAGGCCACTCTGCACAGCTGCCCACAGCGCCTCCTGTACAGATGAACACACATGCATAGTTTAGATATTACGGGAGACCTAACCGGCATTCGTTCGGTTTGTCAGCTTGCACAGGAAATACGATGATGGAGATAATTTAATGGTTACCAGGTTAGGGTCATTGGCTTAAACGGAAACTCAATGATAGAGGATGCAATACAAAAAAATGTAAGTAACAAAACCAACCACATCTCATCACATCCTAATACATCTCATTCACCTCTCTCGCCAGTCGCAGCATCCTCTCCGCAGGCTCACCCTATTCTCGGTTTCTCTGATGGGCGGACAGCACTTGTACTGGGTGGCGCAGTCAGGGACCTCTGACGACTGGAACGTGAGGTAGTGGTTGCACGTCTCCACCGTCAGGGGCGCTCCGGTCGCCTTACACTCGCGGATCATGTCGAGAGCGTCCGACGATGAGAGATGGACGATGTGACATCGCACCCTGTGGCCAGACAGAGGTTATTCGGGTCATTACAGTGCAATGGTTTCTTTCTTGGGCTTGGTAAGCTGCATTAGTTTCTTCAATTACATAAACCAAGGTTCCAGGCTAGCGGAATTTGGGAAGTGCGAGTCGAACCCGTCCAGGTATAATCGTGATTCACGAAAGATAAAGGATATCAAACGGATTGCCTGCAATTTTCTAACATGGAAAGCTGTTCAAAGCAATAATGAGAAAAATGCACATACATTCTGAAATACATATGCACCATCCTGCGACAGTTAGGGATTGACACTTTTATTCGGTTAAGCCGACATTAGGTATTTTTATCGACTTTTGGCTGGAAAGTGGAAATCTATCCTCAAATTGTCAGATTAGTGGTGAGCATGAGCTTCTAAGATCTCAATCATATAGTCAATAGTCAGATGAAAATATTAATTCGATCCATAGATATCCCAGGCCCCCTGGTGTGTCGCCTTTACGATGGGTCATGTCTACTGACCCGTATTTTTGGCATTTCTCGATGACGATTTTGATGGCCTCGTTTTCCATTTTCCTGGGCCGTGACGCCAGGAAGGTGGAGTAGTGCCGCGGGTCACCGCCAGGGGGACTGGCTCCGACGTCCACCTCCGCGTGGAACTGGCGCACAGAAAGCATAGACGACCAGCGACTCAGTAAGTACGATGTTGCGCTGGGCAGTGGACACGTCTCCCGGTCCAACGATAGAAGCGTGTTACATTAACTAGCGTAAAAGACAGGAGACTTCAACCGAAGATGAGAGCATCGACTCACCAAGCCTACCAGAACAATAGGTGTAATCAATTGTCCTATTCTAACGATAAAACGGCTCCACTAAGGCCTAACCACCAAAAGCACGTATTTACTACTACTAGGTCTGTTACCAGCACTCCTCCCCACCTACCCGCAGAACTGCTTTGTCAGCCCCTCCTCCTCCCTCACGTTTCCGTTAGCTCCTACCCACCAGCAGACAACCCCACCCCTCCCCCTCACCAGCAGGATAGCTCTGTCAGCTCCCCGCTCCCCAACAGGACCGCTCGGCCAGCCAACAGGACCGCTCGGTCAGCTCCTACTCACCAGCAAGACGGCTCCGGTGCCCTGTAGCTGCTGTAGCGCCGTCTCCACCTGGTCGGCCGTCACGTGCGGGAACTCGTCCACACCGCTGTGGATCAGGAAACACTTGAAGCCGGGCAGGCCGGCGGCCAGCAGCGGCCGCAGAAAGGTCGAGTTGTCGGGCACCACGCCGCCCCAGAAAGCCACGTCCACGTGACACTGGCCGGCGGCGGCCGCCAGCTTGGCCTCCAGGTTGGCCGGCGTGGTGGTCGGCGGGATGGAGTTGCTGTCGGAGAAGAAGGGGGTCGGCTGCATGATACTGTTGAACCAGGTATTACCTACACATAATCTACGAATATGTTGAGAGACGCATAAAAATCAGCATAGGAAACAAATTTCTTATATCCGAAGGTTGGGACTTTTCAATTAGACAATCACTATTCTTTAGAATTGTGATTTTCTATTGAAAATCCCAACCTGAGCTACCTCTCTAGGGGGACATTTGCGTTTCTGTCGGAAATTGGGTCATTTTGATCGCCGCCGAAACGGCACGGTAGAATTTGTTGCCATTTTCAGCGTTTGGTCCCGTATCGGGGAACTACCTTCTGGCAAAGTTGCAAAAAATATAATTGACACGTTTTGGGGTAATCGGCACGTGCATTTTCCCATAGGGTTAACATGGGGGAAAATTTAAAATTCGATTTGCGCAAAAACTCCACGTTAGAAATGAATTATATTTTTAGGGTCGAATCTAGGGTCGGGACCCCACCTCATGGTGGTAATTATTTAAAATATAAATGACAAAATTTCGGGTAATCGTTAAGGACAGTTACCCCATGCTGAGCCTATGACGATTTCGAAAAATTATTTTCAAATCGATTTTGCCAAAAATTTCCACGTTAGATTTGGAAAATGTTCCAATATGTTGTGCACCGGGGTGTCGGCTACCACATGGTATGGGTCAGATATGGGGCGATTGAAAAGCACGTGCCACGTGCAAACGTGTTTGATGGGGTAACCTCCGGGAAAATCCGACATTGGCCAACTGGGGGTCCTATGGCGTGGAAACCACTCCACCTAGCGACACCAAATCAACGCAGCCGGTGAGCAGATGAGTCCAGCTTGTGGCACTAGTGGTCACGTGGCGCACGTGCTATTGCACGTGCCGTGGCACGGGGTCACTTTTGGTGCTTAAATATACTAGCATTGTGAAATGCAAGGAATGGGGGAAATAGCCGTCAGGCCGTCAGTTTTTATGATAGGGTCGATCTGAAAACGGGTGTAGGCACAGAATGAAGGGGGCTAAAAAACTGCTATCTCGGATTTTTTGTAAAATGAAAAATTCAAAATTCTGGGGAAATTATATATTCGAAAGGTGAAATTTCCCTAAATTTTCCCGTTTTTCGAGTTAAGCCGTCCACTGTTCAGGGACGTTGACACCGGCCGGGGTCATCTTTTACATGCTGATGGCCACGTCGATGGGTCAGCACGTGGCGTGAACGCTGAAGCTATCAAAGGTCCGGCACGTGCCACGTGGCCACGTGTTTGAGTCGCGTACCTCCCAGATTATCGTGTGTTTGCCGACTTGTGGCCTTATAGCACGAAAACAGCACAAGCCAGGAACACTGAAATGGTGCAATCAGTGAGGGGACAAGTCCTGCTTGCACCACCGGTGGTCACGTGGCACACGTGCAAATCTGGGCACCTCCGTTGCGGAGATATTTTATAGTGAAATATTCAAATGTACATTACTTTGTAAGTGTAAGTCCGATTGGGCTAGAATTTGGTGGGTGGATGAATTGTTAAGCGACAGGAACGAGTGCGCCACGTTTGTTGCAGTGCGCCACGTTTGTCTCAAAGCGCCATTTTTGCCGCAAATCGCAGAATATGCCTAACTTTGTCGAACATTGGACGATTAGTGTGCGCTGTAATTAAGGGATGGCTGCTTAAACGGCAGATATGAATGCACCACATTTGCCGCAGGGCGCCATATTTGTCTTAATGCGTCAGTGTTGGCGTTTTGCCTACGGCGGGCGTTTTTGCGGCGGTGTTTGCGTTTTTTCGGTGTTTGCGTTTGGCGGCGGGCGGCTATTTTTGCGTTTTATGCGGTGTTTGCGTTTGGCGGCAGGCGGCTGTTTTTTAAGGCGTTTTGCGGTTGGCGGCGGGCGGGCGTGCGTTGCGGGCGTTTTTGCGGCGGTGTTAGCGTTTTTTTGCGGTTTTTGTGTTTGGCGGCGGGCGGGCGGGCGATGCGGGTGTTTTTGCTGTTTGCGTTTGGCGGCGGGCGGCCGTTTTAGCGGCGGTTTGCAGCGGGCGGCCGTTTTTTGCGGCGTTTTGCGGTTTGCGGCGGGCGGCCGTTTTTGCGGTGTTTTGTGGTTTGCGGCGGGCGGCCGTTTTTTACGGCGTTTTGTGGTTGCCGGCGGTCGGCCGTTATTTGCGGTTAGCGGCGGGCAGCGGGCGGTCGTTTTTTTTTTTGCGGCGTTTAGCGGTTTGCGGCGGGCGGCCGTTTTTGCGGCGTTTTGCGGTTCGCGGCGTGCGGCCGTTTTTTTGCGGCGTTTCGCGGTTGTCGGCGGGCGATGCGGGCGTTTTTTTTTTTGCGGCGGCGGTGTTTGCGTTTTTGCGGTGTTTGCGTTTTGCGGCGGACGCGCGTTTCTTGCGGCATTTTGTGCGTTTTTTTTTGCGGTTTTCGGCGGGCGGGCGATTGTTTTTTTGCGAAGTTTGCGTTGGCGTTTTAGGAGTGCGTTTTGCGCGTTTTGCGGTGTTTGCGTTTGGCGGCGGGCGGGCGGTTTTTCACAATTAAAGTCCCAACCTTCGGATCCGCAGTGCTGTTCGACAAGCGCTGCCCGGGCCTATGAAATGGTGATGACAGCTTCCAAGCAAAAATAAAAATACAACGTTCGGTTTTCCTGAAACGACTTGCGTTCATTCTACTGATTCTCTATTATTCTATTCTACTCGATTCTATTCGATTCTATTCTACTCGATTATAAAGCACCGATCATTTTACTTTGACCGCACATTTTTACGGTAAAATCGTAATACGATAAATTTATGTCGTCGGGAGGGTGCGATCGTCACGTCGTCGACGTCATCTCACAGCGGCATGTCGACGATGGTGGTGATTCCTCCGGCGGCGGCGGCGCGCGTGGCGCTGTCGAAGCCCTCCCAGGCGGTCCGTCCGGGCTCATTGACGTGCACGTGGCTGTCGACCAGGCCGGGCATCACCAGCAGGGGGCCGAAGTCGGTCACCTGGGAACGGTGGTGTGGGGGGGGGGGGGGGAGGTGGGAGGGAGGCAATACAGGTTAGTTCGGACTTCAGAGGTTGTAATTCGAGCTTTATGAGACTGACCAGGTAGCATGGATTTAATGACAAGGAACCACGTAGTCAGGGATGGGCTGTGTAAGAGTAAGAACAGGTATCTAAGGGAGCACGCAGAACATCGGTGCTGTATTGACTAGAGTCGTTATGACTGAACCCCGATCACAGCCGGCCTGGATGGGCGGCTGGTGGGTGAAACTAAGTCACAGATGGCCCGGCGGTCTCTGACCTCATCGGTCCACGGGATCTGTCTGGGATCTGTCACCGACGGCGGACACACCTAAACACACACACCTTATCACGCATCGCACAGGAAGATGAAAAGAACGCTCAACATAATAACCTTCTCAGTTCACATTACATTCGTGCGTAATACGTTACCTGAGAGGCACCACACTCAAAAGCATGTGTCTACTCTCGCAAATCATAAGCATCGCTTGACAACCCTAAGTAGTCATCACCGTTCCGTGCTTCTATCCTCAGGATACTGAAATCCTTCTCCCCAACGCCGCAACTCCCCTCCGGCCTGGACAGGCAACTTTATCTCATGCGGGCTGCTCCCTTGGAGCGGCACCGCTGCTCCCGAGGGAGCGCACCCCGTAGCCGGGTGCAGAGAGTGCTTGGGGGGCTGGTCGGCCTGTCCATTTGGACGGGCTCAGCCCCGGCGACTCTCTAGGGTGCCTGCCCAGACCAATGTCTCCCCCTAATTCCTATCATCCTTCCGGCTCTGAAATGGTCTTGTCAGACCGAAAGGGCCTAACCCAACAAAACAAACAAAACAAACAAACCCTAAGTAGTAATTCTCAAGCAGTCAAACAGGCAACACCATTGCGCATAGTGCGCTCGTTAGCATAAGTCCCTCGATCCTCGCTTCCCAACTGATCATTAGCACCCGCCTGGTGAGACCCGACCTCCGGTCACACCAGGGATAACCTCTCCTTTTACTAGCTCACCTTAACACCCTCCGAAGCCGTGACCCGACCCCCGGGTCACGCCAGCGGTGACCTCCCCCAAGTAACTCACCTTCGCACCCTCGGGCGGTGTGACCCGACCCCGGGTCACGCTGGTGATGACACCGTCTCCGTTTACACACAGGGTAGCCGGTCCGAGGTAGTTGTCCTCCAGTAGCACTCGGTCTCCTAGGAAACACTGCTCCATGGTGTTAGGAAGACGGGAACACTCGTGAGTGGAGGGTAGAGCTCGCTAAACGTTATAAGGGTGAGCTTTACTCGGTACAGGAAAGTAAAAGACCGATAGAGCGGAGACGGGAGACAACACGACAGTGAAGATGGCCGGAGGACGCACGAGCTACGTCGGTGCGGCGGCGAGACGGACGGGGACGGACGCACGCGGCACACCAGCGGAGCTCGGCACGCTAGTGTGGGCCCCGCCGCGTCGCCCAGCGTGGTTCATGTCTCGCTCAAGGTCACTACAACAGCCGGCGTCCGGAGGTGGGGCGGGTGAGCTGGCCCGGCAGCGGAGGGCCCGCCACGGCAGTCAGCTGGCTCGGAGGGGCTCGTCACCTGTCAGCTGACTGCTCGCAGCGTAAACACTTAAACATGTGCAGGCGCGCACACAGTGTGTGTGTAGTGTCGCAGTCGGGTCATGGTAGCATGTGTTTGTTACAAACCTGTTTCCGCTAAATCGTCCGTCTCTCATGACGCCCATGACAGAGCTAATTTATTTATTATTTATTTATTTATTTACTTATTATTTATTATTATATTTATTTACAGAGCTAACTAAGCCGTAACAGTGTGAAGGTCTCAATTCAGTAGTTGAAAAAACGTTCGAATATTCGGAAAGAGATGAACACGATAACAGATCAAATACAGACGGACCCGCTCCCCAATTACGACGTATCACGTATCAGTCACGATAAAAAGGTCAAACACTTTCTCAAGCTACTGCCACGAGCGAGCCGGGCCATAACATGCGCGCTTCTTAGGTATCTCTCGCTCGCGAAACATTAGACAGACTGGGTAGCATGAAAAACTAAAGGTCACGGAAATGCACCATTATATTGCGACGAATCACATAACAATTCATAAACGCTTTTAGTAAGTTTACGCATGCTATCCATTGATGCCCCAACATGTCTAACAATTTACACATCAACATGTCTGTTAGCCGATCGTCGACAGACATTATCACTTATCAGTCACTATCCGTGAAAAGATATCCATATCCTGTAACAGGATGCAAAGCAAGACTCAAATATGAGCAGCGTTAGCGATCGATTCACATCATCACAAGCTCGAAGCCAAAGACCAATTGAGGTCTGTCAGGTACTCATCATAAAGCCACAAAATGACCACGGGACATGACAAAACCGATCACTAAATGTGAAGCCAGCGGCGAGGAATGCAATCACCATACGAACTGGCTACCAGCATCACAACAGACGATATCATCACAGGAAATACACCCGTATACCGGGGGTATCGATGGCCCCAGGCTCGGCTATCGCCCTACAGCTAGAGCAACCACCAGGACTTTTTAGTGCCTATAACCAGTAATGATCAACCTCCGAGGGGTAAGGCAGAACGGATGTTGAACTCGTTACCGTCCTATGGGTCCTAAACACTCATAGCATCATTGTAAAGCTTCTTAGCACGGCTCAGCTACTCAATCCCTCCGAGCATATTCACTCTGAGCGTGGGCACTCATTGCGCGTCCACTGGGTCCGCTGATCATCCTCGCTCCTCCACCGGGCCTCCTCTCTCCTCTACCAGACGTCCCCTCTCTCCCTCCTGGCCAGCCGGTGGTACGGTGAAGTACTGCGCCACCCGTCCCCGGCACAGCGGGCAGGTCTCTGTCCGTCGGAAACAATCGCTGCACACACAGCCGTGTCGGCAGGGCAGGAGTACCACCTCAGCCGGCTCGCAGCGACACACGCAGCAGACACCCAGCGAGCCGGGCGGGCTCTGCGGTCGGCCGGACGGTGGAGCGGGGCCGAGGTCCTCCGGGGGATCCTCGACGCCAGACGAGTACAGAGGCTGCCGGACGGGTAAAAACAAGAGGTGAGAGATGGCAGAGAAATGAGAATGCAACCAGGTAATGACGCACGTTGCATTCGCACCAGGCCGATGACCCGATAAACTCACTTGTGACTTAATTAACTCGCTTTGCCTTGACACTAGAGAAAACAAAAACCACCAGCAAAAGTGGCAGATTATAATTGATACGAAATTAAACGGGTGTCTGAAAAGTAATCACAGGGTGCTCAGCAGCCACCGATTACAAGTTTCAAGGCATCTAGCAGGCCTGAGAAGTTAGAAGCATGGCTGCGGAGTGGGAGTGGGAGTCGGAGTCGGTAGGAGTAAACAGCTGTGACCGGAGTTTGAGTCGGAGTCGATTTTGGAAACCGAAGCCGGATTCGGAGTCGGAGTCAACGAAAATCCATCCACTCCGTAGCCCTGCCAGGTCTGCGGAGTCGGAGTCCGAATTGGTCGGAGTCGGTCGGAGTCGATGATTCTGCCCGGAGTCGGAGTTGGTTTTAAAAAACCGGGGTCGGAATCGGAGTCACCGAAAATTAATCCGACTCCACACTCCACAGGCCTGCTTAGAAGTCATCACTCCATAAATTGTTACCAAATACCACACATACGTCATCCACTTCTGTTTAAGCAACGCGCTCACCTGAAGCAGAGTAACGCGTCCGTCTGCCTGCCGGACATACCGGTGGAGTACAGAGGTCCCCATCGAGACGACACGGTCCCTTATGTGAATTACGGCCACCAGGGCCACCTGTCGGTCACCAGGGAAACAGAGCTTCACAGAACGCCGAGTGGCAGAGCAGCGGCGCACCGAACGAGGGAGCCGGCATGCGCTCATGATAACAGGCAAACGAGCATGCATCAGCTGAGGTGTTTATCAGCTGTGATGTTTCCTTTAAAGGTAGTGTGCCACCTTTGAAAGATTTCCCATTTTATTTTTCCTAGGATAAGAAGCTTCTGTTTTTACCTAATATCGCAAAAAAAAAATCAAAAATGGGCCTGGAATAGTGCCTTTTTCGCCTAAAAGTTTATCGGTTTTTAGATATGTATAACAACTGTAGTGGGCTCACCTGCAAACAGGCGTCGGGCAACAATCGCGAATGCGGCGCACTTGTGACAATAAGCAAAGGTCATTATAGTGTTACGACCATACGACGTACGGGAATGAGTTATCAGCTGTCTAATCGTAGACAACACAATGTCGAGCCTTAAACTGTAAGCCCGTATTGGTATTGTTTCTTTTATTTGGCTGTCGAACATTATTTATGGTTTGAAATATGATTTTATGTAAAATAATTGATATGAAAAAGCCGTCTTATAAGTTATGACCCCATTTCACCACACGCAAGTGGCAGAAATGACAATGATCAGCTGACGCATTTTTCTTGGCCGAAGTCAGAGCGCGCGGCCCGACGCACCACGCGTATTTGGAAATTCCGACCTCGACGAGCATCAGAAGCCACCTAACAGGCGTGTTCGAAACCGCAGGAGATGATGATGAACGGGTTTATCGAAACTTGATTGGATGAGCATATCGGTAATAGCGATTTCAGTATGTGCATTTATTGTTCATAGTGGTGTGAAATGTGGTTGGGGTACGACCGACAACCCGTCGGGGCGAATTTCGCACTGGGGTACTCAAAAATTGAAGAATTTAAGACGTTTCCATGAGTTTTGAAGGTATGGATAAGTTCTAAAAATCCGGTTCTCCTTATCTGGGCCATTAACTCCATACGGTCCAAGAAAGCTGGCACACTACCTTTAAATGAAAAGATCATGACTAACTAAATAGCTCCTGTCTTTCATCGGCCACCTACCAAAATGGCTAAACCGTGGCAGGTTCGTGTCGTATTATTTCGGTCCGTGGCCAAACAAGTATTATTGACCAGCTGGACGCCGTGTTTAACCCGCGCCCGACTGGGGGTCCTGGATTTCCACGCCCTGCTGGGGGGGGGGGGTGTCTGAATACCCCCCCCCCCCCCTCTAACTCGGCTCCTGGGCCACGTAGCGACACGCGGAAGGCGGCGTTCGAAAGAGCGTAAAAAATAATGACGAAATCACTTCGGTCAATTTTTTGGTCAGGTCAAAGGTCAGGTCACCAGAGGTCATTGAAGGCAAAATTTCGCCGATTTCCAGGTCGAATGTCGACAATTTCCAAGATGCCAACGCATAACTCGGGAACCAATAGAGCTACAGCGCCGCGGAAAAGCGCATTCGATAGCCCTATTAACGTCCTTTCTGAGTAATTCTCTCAGATTTGACCTAACGTCAACGGTTTTGCCTGCAGGGGGCAAAAACTGCAAAAATAGCCGATTTTTTCGGAAACAGTTTTTTCTGCAATAACTTTTGACACAAGCCTTGCACGAGCTTACTTTTACCGGCATCGTGTTCCTCTCGTCAAGACGCATCGAATGAACTATAATTTGACCTTGAAAGGTCAACTTGAAAATTTGACCTCAGGTCAAGGTCATGACCTGACCTGAAAGGGTCATGTTGCATATCAGTCGATCCGTATCGTCGAGCTGAACACATCTAATGCGTTTTCATCGCTCTAGCATGCCTCAATCAAAAGTTATTTGCGAAAAACTGTTAGATACCATTCGTGACCTAAGATGACCTCAGGGCATAAACAGGGGTCACGGACACCATTTTCATGTTCAGTGTGTCTAAACTACTTGTAATTCAGTGTTTGGGAGTGTTTATAATGTCTTTCGTCCAAAAGCGGCGCATTTCAATTTCCTCCCATTGACTTATAATGGGGAGGTCGCAAAATTGACCTGACCTTAGGTCATCGATATCAAAATTCTGAGATATACATTTTGTACGTGCTATTGCTCTTAGCAATCGCTGAAAGTTTCAAAGCGATCGGTCACTCGGTGTAGCTATGACAGACATTGAAACTTTTTATGAGGTGAGGTCACTTCAAGTGACCTGGACCTGGTGACCTGACCTTGAATGACCTTGGTCTGAAATTTTCACAACATGTGTAGAATTGATGTATGATAAGGTGTACCAAAAACGTTTTTGAAATATTCGCGAAAAACCACAAGGGGGGGGGGGTGTTCAACCCCCCCCCCCCCCCCCAGCAGGGCGCGGGTTAAACTGATTCAATGACCGGAATGTTAACGTACTTACCACAGAACTGGGGCTCTCTGGCACAGCTGTAGTTTCTATCACCGACACCAGAGGGTAATGACTTCTTTGTGGAGCGGACGCCGCCCTGCTACCGCTGCTCCGTGGTGCAGCCCCGTCCTTCTGGGGATCTTCCCGAGTCACCGATTCGGCCACTCTTGGTTCAGTCTGTGGGGGCTCAGATGTTTCCGTTCCACCGCCAGCGGCCTCTACAGTATGCTCCCCAGCCTCATAGCTGCGGCAGAGCGGACAGACGTTGTGTGTCAATATCTCGTCATCTCACGGGGGAGTTCTGGCTCGGCAGACTACTGTTCACTTCTTACGTTTATCATAGCATGCAATAGCGTGATGCTTAGTTAAAAGACCAGCTGGGCCGTGTAATGGGGAAATATTCACTTCTGGTTCAGCCGACTACTGTTCACTTCTTACGTTTATCATAGCATGCAATAGCGTGATGCTTAGTTAAAAGACCAGCTGGGCCGTGTAATGGGGAAATATGACTGAGTTTATCTTGTGTATTACAGTCTTCATTAGAGTCTAGCGGGCTATGTGAAAGGACGGCGCTACGCCTGGGTGCCCAGCCGCCGTGAAATAGGGAAGTTACCAGAGGGCTGTTCACGTCGGACTCTTGTGTGCGATAGGACCACACACAGGCTCTAAACTCCGCTCACTGCCGCCCTATGTGAGCCTTCAGCCACCGCACACAGCGACTGCTGTGGTCGGTCGGGACCGGCCACAGGGACCGTCAACCGCACACAGCCGTGTAACGTCATACCGACTTATACCCATCCCCCACCCCTACGCCTGCTGCGGCCTGCGAACACCACACTCAGCAGTTTGCGTTTCCCGTGAACAGTCCTACGAATATATCGTACCTGGTCGTCTGGCAGCCGTACAGCAGGGCGTCCCCGGCGGTGATCCTGTTCAGCAGGTGACTGAGGGCCGAGAACGGCACCCGCCACAGCAGTCGGAGCCGACATGGCTTCTCAGTCTTCAGCAGGCAGCGAACCGCGGGTGGGCGTGACGCTGCCGGGACACACATCGCATAAAGGTCGGGTAGGGACCATAATAAGGACAGAGTAGGAAAAACTTCATTCAAGCAAAGCTTATAAAAAGGCACTCATTGCTTGCATCATGGAGAACACATTTCCTTGACATGGGAGGACAATTCAACCGGTCCCATTTTCAACCATCCTTCACAATTCACATTCCCTAACCGAGCATCCGGCAGGGGAATCCAAGTCCCACTACAAACCACAAACCGGCTAAGTCCCAGCCCGCGTACCGGTGCCGTCCGCTGGCTGCGTCGTAGGACCGTCACTGAGGACGTCCAGTGAGAAGGGCACGTGTAGCGGCTCGAGGTGGAGTCTGACGGCGTCCTGCGTGCCCCACCACACCACCGACTGAGAGAACATGGTCTGACCCCTGCAGGGAGAGCGGTGGGTGTCAGGGTGGACAACAGGATGACAAAGATCAGAATGGAAGGAAACCAGGCCAGAATAGGACGTAGGGCACAGGTCACTGGTCAGAATGGGCAGGACACAGGGCAGACTAGAATGCACATAGGTCAGAATAGACCAGACACAGGTGAGAATGGGCACTGACCAGGTTGCTGGTCAGCACTGACAGGATAAAGCTGACTGGTCAGAATGGACAGGACACAGGTCAGAACAGGCAGGTTGCTGGTCAGAAATGACAGGACACTGGTCACTGACTCACTAGTCAGAATTAATAGGACACAGGTCACTGGTCAGAATGGACAAGAATAAGATATATGTCACTAGTCAGAATGGCCAGGACATTGGGTGCAGACATTGTAAGAATGGACAATGGCAACAGTTAGAATGTGTATCTAGCAGGACACATTACAATTGACAGCCTCAGACAGTGGACAGGGCACATGCTGGGATGTATTTCCAAACATGATTCAGCAGGGGCATAGGGCAAACCTGAATGGCCAGCTGAGAATAGATTGCACAGCACATGAGAGTACCTATCTCACCACACTCCAGAGCGCTGTTCGGCAGCCGGCTATTTTGTGTGCAGGGTATGACGCATTCCGCGAGCCGACGTCACAGGCGATGACGTCGGCTCGCGCGCGAGCCGAGCGCCAACGACTAACTAACGGGAACCCTCGGACACCCTCGGGGCATAAACCGCGGCGTAGCATATTGAGCGAGTCTTATAAGGGAAATTCATATATTTTCGTTTCCCGAATGATAATCAGGGTGTCTCTTACCTTTTTACATATCATTTAGGCTTACCTAACACTTCAGTTGCCAAATATCTGCAACTTATTCAAACGAAGGTATTTTCAGTAAATATCAATGCTATAGACCGAAATCTTTTGAATAAAAACTCCAACCAATAGAAATAAAAATAACTTAATTTATTCTAACCATTTCCTCCAAATAAACAACATAATAACCCACTTTTACACACATCATTCATAATAAAGCATACTAACACGCCGCTTTTGACAATTGCAGCGTCGAGTGGCGCACTGCTAGCGCTCTTTTTCGATCGCAGACTGCAGAGACCCTGCACGCGCGCGAGCACACTACGTCACGTCCAGGGGGCACAGGTATATGAAAAATCGCAGTGACGTAACACTTTTCTCGCTTCTCATTGGTCAATAGCCCGTTGCCGGGGTAACGTGCACGTATGTGAGCGCCGGCAAGAGTACTAGCCGGCCGCCGATCAGGGCTCAGTTTTTCATGAAGTACATAAAACAGTGGAGTGCATCACCATGACACTTTGCATAGCTTATCATGCATAAATATTGCATTGAGTAAAAACATTGGCCCCAGGTCATTGAAGGTCAGGTGACCAGGCTCAATTAATTAGCCATGCCATAAAAAAATTGACATCTCAATCTTACAAGCTGGAAACGCAGTGTATTGCATTAGGGCATCAGTGGTCAAAAGTTGTATAGGCATCTCAGATTGTTTAATCTGTGACCAGGGCCCTGATCGGCGGTCGGCTAGTGCTCTTGCCGGCGCTCACATACGTGCTGGTTGCCCCGGCAACAGGCTATTGACCAATGAGAAGCGAGGCAGGTGCAGCGTCACTGCGATTTTTCATATACCTGTGCCCCCCGCAGCTCGTTTCTCATGGGTCAATAGCTCGTTGCCAGGGCAACATGCACGTATGTGTGCGCGGGCTAGCATGCTAGTCGGCCGCCGAACAGCGCTCTGAAGTCAGGTCAACTTTTAAACCTCAATCATATTGGACCATACCCTTGAAAAACAACTTAACTTACATACCTGAACAGATACATACTTAGCAAAGTTAAACCAATCATAACCGCCAGTACAATGATAAAATGTGGTGTTTCCACCAATGAAAATATTAAAATATTCATTGTACTGCAATAAAAGGAATAATCAGGCGCCAGGCAGGACCTGGCATCCAAACAATTCAAATCAAAATTGTTCTTCTCAGCGATTATCTGTGATATAGTCTAAACTCTAAAGGTCGAAGCTACCGTCACTGCATTCTAAAAATAATAATAAAAAATTATCTAATTCATTGCTGAATCCAAGATGCAGCAGCTTCATCTGAGACCTTTTGCTTTTTTTATTTCAATCACTAACTTTCAATATTCCAATTTTAACCACATGCCATTTTTGTGACCAATTGACGAAAATATATGATAAGCATTTATGACGTCATTTAAAGTTAAGCCAATAATAGTGGGGATCGTAAGAGCAATCTAGCGACCTTTGTTCTAAAATCGGGGATCCTATGACGTCATTTTATTTTCGAATCTTTCATGATTTTGTTAAGAACGCATTGTTTCGGTACTCCTTGAAAACTACCCATTTCGTGCTTGAGCTCCAGGCATGGCGGTTGCCGGCCGTTTGGGCGGCGGAAGGGCCTGCCAGCGACCGGTTATTCAGTCTTTACTGAATGCTGGGAGAAGTATACACATCTTGCAAACAGCACATCGACCTAAGTTGCTCCAGCTAGCGGGCGTCGTCGAAAAATGTTAGTATGTTAAATGTCTTTGCTGCGCAATATTTGCCCTGAACGTGTTTTTCTTGTTGATTTTGATCAATATTCTTTGTTATCAACCACAATTTGTTAATTGATGAATAGAAATGAAGTGTAACTGCAAATTCAATGGAACTGTGGAGTTGTATGCTTGAATTTTACGTTCAGTTTCATGCCCATGACGTGGTGATTATTGTTAATTGGCTTTTAATGCATATTTCAATTGATGTGCCCAAAAGCAATAGGCTCCATTAAATGCTATGCTAGTTATGGTCCTTTTGACATTTGCCATAAAATTGTTATGTGCCTGTGTTTAGATATTACAATTTGGTATATATTCTTGTGTAAAGGTGCTTCAAAATATCTGCAATTGAATTTACCTAATACCTACTGTGCTTTGACATGTAACTGTTTTGAATTTCATTGTTTTCACATTTGGAATTTCTGCTGTTCAATTTGTCACCAAATTTCATATTTCATACCATTAAAATATAAATAGATTTAGTTGAATAACTTTGCTGAATTAAATTTTGTGTGATCATTAGTATGAAAGTCAATATGAGATTCTTAGCAGATCATTTCACTTTACTTGGAATAGAACATACCTATTTATCTTTTGAAATAAGTCAATTTGGCTTAAGAAAGACATAACCTATTGACCTAAGATGCCATGTTGGCTATGCAGTAGGTGATAAAGTTGGGGGATAATTTTTTCAGTACCTAAATTTCAGTTATTTTGCACTATCATAAGCTCAGTTTGCACTATCGTCTTTTCGCAGGCAATTCCTGTCAAACACAGGTATATCCGGTCATTCCGCACTATTTTAGTTAGTATAGAGGCGATGCCAGATCTGGCATAATAAATGGGTGTGTGGTAGCTCATTTTGCACTAAATCCGGTATATGAGCACTATTCATGATTTCACTGCCGAGCACGAGCTACTGCTATGATCACAGTATTCTTGAGCCTTGAGGTATTTATTTTTTATGTTGTACGTAAGTTGGACATCAAAGTATGATCCTCCATTCAGCGTATTACTTCCACGATGAAAACGGAATTGGAGCAAGTTTTGTTGCATAGGTCCTGCCCTCTACGCAATACACCACGCCCGGTGCTGCCCCCTAACGACTAATAGGCATGCTGGGTATATATTAGGTAAATTTGTGGACAAAAATGCGCATCGCTTAGGTTCGTGGGACAAAATCATGTACGCAAATGTACGGTACACGGTCTGCCCACCGGCTTCATGTGGCTCACGATGCAGCGTGACCACTCATGCTCCTCAGCAAAGTACCACCCCCTCGAAATGAGAGCTGGCTAGGCGTTAGGCCGCTGAACGATGAAACGCTGCTGCGAAATGCTACAATCAAGATCCGTCTAGTTGATGTGCGTCAATGACAGACACGTCCCTTCCACGACACGTACGGAAGCGACGTCGAGCGCTTCCTACTAAGCATGGGAAAATGCCACCGCACATTTAGATTAAGCATTTGCTACTGCAATGCTGTGCCTACATGCCCATAGCGCCGTTAGATAATCTGACAGAATCAGCAGCACTGGCGGACCAGTACGCTTGGGCTGGGCGGACGGTAGGACCCAACATCCTCGCGAAATCGTCATCACTCTCCAATCTCCATGCTAAGAACCTCGCTCAGTTCACTCTTGGACAAGAAAAGGCAGGATGATCGGCACACGCCTGAGGCTGTACGTAAATCAATGAGTTTAATCTATCCAAATTCCTTGCCAAATCCGTCCAAGAAGCGCGCCTTGCGTCCTATCGGTCCTCTCAAAACGCATGCGCCGAAACAGACGCTAATCGACCTGGCAACAAACAATCTGTAGCTAGTACAGACTAGTATTGTAGTTTATTTCTCCATAATATTCTAAAATCCTTCTAGATTTAGTAGGGATGCCTAAACATCTACCAAAAATAGTGCGAAATGACTACCATTAGGTGCCATTCGAACTAAAAGTACTGCGAATTAGACTGAAAGTAGTGCTAAAGTCCCTTAAATAGGTGTCATAACTGGTTAGGTGCTAAATGACCCTGTTATACCTCAAATTAACTGAAAATGCCTAGTTTTGCCGAAAATACCACAAAATGACCGGTTTTTAGTGCTGAGAAAATTACCATCCGATAAAGTTTACATAGATCCAATCATCCTAGTGATCTAGAATTGATGTAGAATATGTCATATGATGACCCTGTTGTTGCATTAGGAATAGGATAAGGCGATAATGCTTTGATTGATCAGTTTGTGTAGTACAAGATCACCCTTGCAACCCCCATTGTGTCTGTAATCCTACAGTGTTCGATTTGATTACAGGTCTCCCCAGTGCTCACCTCCAACAGGCTCGCCTCTTTCATCCATCATGGTCAAACCTGAAAAAGGATTACTATGAAACACTAGGAGTATCCAAAAATGCATCTGCCAAGGATATCAAGAAAGCATACTATCAGCTTGCCAAGAAATATCACCCTGACACCAACAAGGATGACCCAAAAGCCAGCCAGAAATTCCAGGAGCTCTCTGAAGCGTATGAGGTGGGTTTTTAACTTTATTGAGAAAGCTTATTAAAGGAAAAGGGCCACCTTCGTGAAATATGAAGATATCGTTGTTTTTCATTTTGACATTATTATTTTTCATTTTCTTTTTAAAACTGGTGCCAGAAGTGCACAATTCGCGAAAAAGTATTTAAAACTATTTAACATATTGGTACTATGTTGATACTCTCTACGGCACCTACTGTATGATGGCATAGCGATGACGTCACACTCAAGCCAATCAGCGTTCAGAAGACAGACTCGTCGGATTGTGTCAGATAAGCTGATTGGTTAAAGCTGAGCTGGTTGGAGCTGATTGGTAAAAAATCAAAGCCTCGCCGCGGGTGGCTGTCAGCGGTGTAACTTTCTATATGTATGGGGGTGCAGGTGCACCCCCATCCCCTGAAAGTGCACCCTCATCACGTCAAAGTGCACCCCCATAGGCTAAGCGGCGCCCCACACGCTGCCCGACACCGATAAGCTCTTGAGCAGCAGATGGTGAGGGTGATATCCCGGCTACATTCCGTCTCGTGACCGGCGTCGTGCTGCCTGCGGGCTTGGAAAGCGTCCAGTCGTATCTTACCTTACCTTACCTTACCAATACAGAATTTTGAGGCCTATAAGGCCTGTAGGGATCTGATCTCATCGAGCTCCTTACTAGAAACAGTCATGAATCTTGGGCTGGGATGTCAAAGGATGCATCACCCCAGTGAGAGTCGAGACGGGCTTTGAAGATATTGACAGACGTAGAGAGGACCACAGAGGCAGGAAGCGCATTCCAGTCGTTGATGGCGCGGACCGACAGAGTGTGTCTCCTGGGTCTTGAAGCAGCTTGAGGCTTCAGCAGCTTCAGAGCATGTCCTCTGGTGACAGATGAGACTGCCTGCTCGAAAAACTGGTCCGGCCGAACGTTGACTCCTCCCGTCAAAATCTGGAAGATGGCGATTACGTCTCCTCTCCGTCTTCGGTGATATAGTGATGGGAGCTTGAGTCGCCGGAGGCGTTCCTGGTAGGGCAAGTGTCTTAGTTCACGGACCAGTTTGGTTGCTCTCCGCTGCACTCGTTCAATCAGCCTCTGATCAGCTCGGTTGAAGGGCCCCCAGATGAGGTTCCCATATTCTAGATGGGGTCGTACCAGCGTTTTGAAGAGAATCGGCAGGGTAGTCGCATCAATGCAAATGAACGATCTTTTTATCAGTGCGAGCATTTGGTTGCCCTTTGCAGCTGCAGACGCGGCCTGCTTACGAAACTTCAGGTCAGAATCCAGCTGAACCCCCAGGTCCTTCTCTACTTCAACCGTATTCAGCTGGAGACCATTCATGGTGTATGAGTGCCCAGGATTCCTAGGGCCGAGATGAAGGACCTTGCACTTTGATTCATTGAACGGCAGTTGCCACTTCTCCGACCACTTGGCCACTTCTTCAATGTCTCGCTGGATTGAGCTTGTTCCAGTGGACGATGATGTTCCGAAGATTTTGGTATCATCTGCAAAGACCTTGATGGAGCTCTGCACGGATTCGGGTAAGTCATTGATAAATATGATGAACAGCATTGGCCCGAGGACTGACCCTTGAGGAACCCCACTGGTCACAGGCACCCAAGGCGAGCAGTGTCCTCTGATCACCACCTGTTGACGCCGGTCCGATAGGAAGGAGGCAATCCAGCCCTTTAACCTTCCTGTGATACCGTATCCCTCGAGTTTATTCAGGAGTCTCAGGTGTGGCACAGAGTCAAAAGCCTTTCTGAAGTCGAGATACACCGCATCAACTGGTTCGCCATTCTCTATGCACTTGGTCCACTCATCCAGCACTTCAAGAAGCTGGGTCATGCAGGATCGCTGTGGTCTGAAGCCGTGCTGGTGGTTCGATAGGAGGTTGGCTTCTTCCAGGTGAGTCATGAGATGATCTCGGATCAGGGATTCAAGTACCTTGCAAGGAATTGCAGTCAAGCTCACTGGGCGATAATTGCCTGGGTCCAGCCTGTCCCCCTTCTTCAGAATAGGTACTACGGTGCCAAGCTTCCAGTCGTCTGGAAGACAGCCAGACTGAATGGACTTGTTGTAGATGATGGATAGTGGGACCGCCAGCTGAGCAGCCGCCTCGATCAAGACCCTAGGGTGGATTCTGTCTGGCCCTGGGGAGCTAGAGCTCTTGAGTCGCATCAACTTGTGTTTAACCATGTCGGCCGTGACCGTCAGGTCGCGAAGGTTCAGTGACTGGCCAGGTGGAGCAAGAGATGGTATAACCGAGGCATCCTCGTTGGTGAATACCGAAGAAAAGTACTTGTTCAGGATGCTAGCCTTTGTGACGTCATCTCTGATTACCAATCCGTTCTCATCTCTCAAGGCGTCAATGCCAACCTTGGTTTTGAGTCTCGAGTTGGAGTATTTCCAGAAGGCCTTTGGGTTGTCCTTTAGCTCTTTTGACAGTCTGAACTCAAAGGTACGTCTCAGCTCTCTGGTAAGCTTTCTCAGTCTGTTCCTGCATCGGCAGTACCTGGCGTAGTCCACAGGGTCCCTGGTGTGAGCATACATATTCCAAAGCAGGCTTTTCTCTCGCCTGAGCCTCTGCGCTCGGTTATCAATGTACAGGTTCTTGTTAGGTCTGTGGTGCGTCACCGGCACTGTGCGAGCAACTGCCTCTCTGAGGGAGCTCACAAAATAGTGGTAGGCGCGATGCACGTTGCTATCATGCATCACAGTCCAGTCCACATCTTGGAGCACACTCCTCAGTAGATTGTAGTTGGCTCTGTTGTAGTTCAGATGGGGACCGATTGGTATCGTTCCCCAAAAATGGGTGAAAGGGGCACCCCGGCAAGAACGGGACTTTCTCAGCAAAAGTGGAGCGCCCGAGGCAGAAGTGGGGCACCTCCAACGTAGGTTGGGATCGTCAAGCATAAGACTGGCGCCCCAGCGGAGGAGAGGCGCCCCTAGTAGGAATGAATGAGGCCCACAAGCAGAATTTGGATTCGCCCAGTAGAAGAGCGCCCTCAGTAGAACACGGGCGACCCCAGCAGAAAAGGGCGACCCCCCCCCCCCCCCCCCGCTTATAAACTACGTAACAATACGTAACACTTCAAATAACGCCCTGACGTTTGCCCGCTGATTTGACTTCGCTGAGCAACAAGCTTGCTTAGCTCGGCGGCTCTTTTCAGTGGGCATTTGACTCTGCCGAACCCAGACCAGATACTGTCCCCCCCACCCCGCAAAAATGTGTGAATGCGCTGTACGATTAACCCGCGCCCAGATGGGGTCTGCCGAGCAACGCGGTCTGATGGGGGGGGGGGCCATTTTGGCCCCCCCCCCCTCAGATCTCGAGAACCACGCAACATAGCGACAAGCGGTAAACGGTGTTGGATAGCCCCAGCGAGGAACTACCTTTTGACCCAATTTCATTGACCTCGGTCAAACCGATGACGTCACAGGTCAGGTCAAAGGTTGAATTTTCACCGTTTACAGGCATTTCAAGAAATGCGTTGTAAAATCGAGTAAAATGCATTTCATTGAAAATCATCGATGGAGAAATGTTCTTCAAACACATATTTTGCTATTTGAGGTCACTGATACCAGGTCAGGTCACAGAGGTCAGGTCACTGGGGGGGGGGGGGGGGTCACAATATGAAAGTGTCGTGTGATACATGTTTTATGGTTCATTTTACATGACAAATGCGATTATGTGGGTCAGACAGACCTTAGGGCCAGCTTAGGTCACGTTTTGGTCAAGGTCAGGTCAAGGTCAGGTCAAGGTCAGGTCAAATTAGGTCAAATTTCAAAGTTGATATTTTTGCATAAAATGGGTATCGATTCGATGCAGCTCGTCACGGGGAGTTCAATGGTGGTCTCCGTTTTGCGCTACGAGGTCTAGAATTGCTAAAAATTGAGTTTAAAAATTTGACGTCATCAATTTTTAACAGTTTTTTCGCTATAACTTGGCCAAAAAAAGAGGTATCGATCTAAAATTTGGTATGTATATCGAAGAGCGCAGGGACTATCACATATATTCCGGTTTTTTCGAAATTCGAAATTTTTTGGAAATTTTTTGAGTTTTTCTAAAAAAATCAATTTTTTTATTTTTGGGGGTCAAAATCCCTAAATTTCGAAAATCCGAGATAGCAGTTTTGTAGCGCCGTCTTTTCTCTACACAACCACATAAAGAACTTTAAAATTGCTTGTTAACTGTAGAATTGGTGAGCGTTTCAAGATGTCATGTTTTTTGCTCATTTTTGCTCGAACATGACCTCAGTTTGACCTCAATAACTCCTGACCTGAGGTGACCTGTGACTTGAAATTTTGTGTGAAGGTGTCAAATTGATGCCCGGTAAGGTACCCAAAATTTGGCGGCGCTGCGCGCCGCCGTTTTCTCGCTATTTAAGAAAAACCACAGGGGGGCCAAAATGGCCCCCCCCCCATCAGGGCGCGGGTTAACCTAACTAACCGATGGAATGACTGATCCTTTGGCTTATTCTTAAAAGGGAAGGTGTAGTGGCCAGTCAAGCTACATTTAGCCTTGACTTCTTTGCTTCTCTTTTAACCCATTTATGCCCAGGAATATTGACCATCATGAAAATCGACGAAATCAAAATATGTTATGCTCCTACCAGGGCCTTGTATGGAATCGAAAATAATTTTTGCCTGCAGCAAAAGTTTCTCGAGAAAAACGTAAAAAACATGCGTTGCGAAATCGCAACGAAGGGCACACCGGGCGCCATCAGCGTTGCGAAAACGCAACGACGGGCACATCAGACGGACATAAAGTACACTGAACTGCCGTATATGCTAATATATTTTGACAAAACATCAATCATTTGTTGACAACTATTGCTTGAAAATGCGGAACCCACATCCGTCATGCTCTATAACCCGCCTAAGAGCCTCAGTGAGGAAGCATAACTTCATGATTCGCGAACGGGGAGATGGCAACACGGTCATTATCAACCATTTACGTTGTCCATTGCTGTTCATTTAAAGTTGTGGTCGACACGTATCCAGGGTGATGCTTTCTTTTTGGAAGCTAGACAGATCCATTACCTCCACCTATCAGACCCTGCACAGTGCACACTGAATACAATTAAACGGAGGATTGGGAGTAAACCAGTGCCTCTCGTATGCGCGTATATCCGCAATCATTTTTAACCACCCTCTTAGGAGTAAAGTTAAATTCCATTGCAGGTTAGTCGTACCCACTCTCAGCAAAGAGAAAAAAAGGACCGATCCGGCTCTAACAAATTACCCGCGTACGGCGTAGCGCATCACAACAAATCGACTCCCAGTTTATCATGTTTACACCTAATCCAAAATTTTCATGGCCCCACTCTCAGCGACCTTCACGTGTAACCTCTTTCTCGAGACAATGCCAGGACAGAATGGTGATTCGACGTCAATCCGTCCTTTCCATCTTCAGGATAGTTGAATCCTCCTCCACGCCTCATCCCCCTGTTCCGGGCTGGACCGGCAACGTATATCGCAATCGGGCAGCTCACATAGGAGCGCGCCTGTAGCCGGGTGCAGTGAGTGCTTGGGAGGGGGGAAGGGGGTGGGTCATGGGTGACGGCTGCCCATTGGCTGGGCTCAGTCTCCAGTCTACGATTGACCGTGTCCGATCAGACAAATGTCTCCCCTAATTCCAATAATCCTGCTAGCTCTAAAAATGGTCTGATTAGATAAAAAGCCTATCAAAGTAAGAAAACAGGCGTATACTCCACATCAAGCAGCTTATGAATCTATGCGAGTTAGTTATGAATCCTAAAAATTATTATTTTCCCATGGGTCCGCCCTCATTACCCCTGCCGAAGGGCTCAGCTACCCTCAGAGGGGGCCTATCCCACTATTTGCCGACCCTCAGTTATCTTTTCTAACGTAAATGCTGGTAGTCAGCAGATTCTATCCAGAGAATGGCGATGCCTATCTGTCGCCTGATACCAGAATACATCCCCGTTATTCATTATTTATGCACAATGTACCTACATAGTAGATCCAATTTCCAAAGGACCTAATTATCTCTCAGCTCCGTAAGCATCGCAGACCGTTTGATGCATGGGTCCTTTTCCTACCATGCAATTTTCAGATGCATGGGAACACATTGCTTAGTGAACGAACAGCCCGAGGCCGAAAATCTGCGAGAGAAAAAGAAAGGAGTGTTTGTGGCTATTTGAGCCAGCAAATATGAAATGTGTCGCAACATTTTACGTGCGAACGCACCTTGCACTAAACATGCCTATATACGTCCCTCATGGCATAGGCGGCGGAGCGGGGGGAGGGGGCACCGGGGCACCGTGCCCCCCTTGATTTTGCCATTTTAACATTATCCCGATAGGCGTTGCATGGAAATGGAAATGGAAAGAATGAGACCAAAAGTCAGCAGTGCTCCCCCCCCCCCCTTAATTGAAGATGTTCCCGCCGCTACAGCCTCATGGCTACAAAATGAGAGAGAGAGAAAGAAAGAGAGAGAGAGAGGGGAGAGAGTTGAGGAACGAGGAGGAGAGGGAGGAAGATGGGGGAGAGAAAGAGAGAACCCACAGCGTATCACGAGTGAAGTCTACTGTTGATATTCATACTTCCGCTACCCTGCCAATGTGCCCATCGTTGCGTTTTCGCAACACCGCTGTCTTTCCGATGTGCCCTTCGTTGCGTTCCCGCAACGCGACCGTAGTCATATTTGAAAATAGTCACAAACCCTTTTTGTAGCATTATTTCTTAACAAAATGCATATCTACGCTATTGTAGGGACTCTACAGAATATGTTTACACAATTTTCATTACGATATTATTAAGCACTTAGCCTACTTATCTTGGTTTTCGTGACGTCATCACTCACAAAACCTTCGACTTCCCTCTGGGAGCTCTAGGCAGTAACTTACCGGCCGCACAGACTTGTAACTGCGTAGTATCATGCGCACAACCATGCTACACACGCTGAAACTTGTCTCATCGGTTAGTCTCTTTTACACACTTCTCAAGCTTCGATCACGTCGACGCTTGCTTGCGTTGCGAAAACGCAACGAAGGGCGTAAATGGGTTAAGCCATATACCATACTAACAAGGGCCTTACCACGCTTATTCCAGCTTTGATTTTGTTTTCTTCATTCTCCTAGCAGGGAGTGTCGCGACTTGATGTATTATGTTTCGGGGTGGTGTTAACGTAAGGTTCTATGTGTCGCGCGGGTCAGTGGGTGGACACTCCTGGTCGTCTATTCATGGGCGGCGGCTTAGAAAAAAGGCGCCTCACCAGCAGAGGGGCGCCCTACCAGAAGAAGGGCACCCCAGCAGAAAGGGGGCGCCCAACCAGAAGAGAGATGCCTCCAGCAGAAAAGGAGCGCCCTCAACACAGGAATGGCCACCCAGCAGAAAGGGGGCGCCCCATCAGAAGAGGGATGCTTCCAGAAGAAGAGAGGCACTCCAATATAAATGGGGCTACTCAAGCAAAAGTTGGGCTCATCCAGTAGTAGTGGGGCGCCCCCAGCAGAAGAGTACCCCCAGCATAGGGCCGCCCCAGCAGAAAGGGGCGCCCTACCAGGAGAGGGATGCCTAAAGAATAGAGGCGCCCCAGTACAAAAGGGGCACCTGGAGCAAAAGTTGGGTTCGTCCAGCAGCAGTGGGGCCGGGGGCGCCCCCAGCAGAGGCGGGGCGTCCCCAGCGGCCCCGACGGAAGTGGGGCATCCCCAGCAGAACAGGGGCTCCCCAGCAAAAGAGCAATGCCCCCAACAGACATTGCCGAGCACCTTCAGCAGAAGAGTACGCACCCGCAGAAGAGGGGCGGTTTCAACAGAAGAGGGGCGCCGCCACCAGAAGATGGGCGAGGGCGCCTCCAGCAGAAGAGGGGCAGCCCCGCAAAAGAGGGGCGCTGCCCGCAGAAGGGGGCGCATACAATAACAATGGGACACCTCAAGCGGCAGTTGGGCTCGCCGAGTAAGAAGGGCGCCCTCAGTAGAAAAGGTCGAGCGACTTAAGCAGAAGTTGGGCTCGCCCGGCAGAAGAGGGACGCCTCTAGAAAAATAGGGCATACCCGCGAAGGGAAGTGTCAGTCTCCAGCAGAAAAGTGTGAGACCCCAGCAGAGGAGGAGCGCCCATCAGAAGCAAGTCCCGCCGAGCAGAAGAGGGGTGACCTCAGCAAGAGAGAGGCGACCCCAGCAGAAGAAAGGCGCCCAATAAAAAAGGTGATTCCAGCAAAAGTGGGTGTCACCAGTCGCCGAGCGTAAAAAGGGCACCCCGATTCTATAAAATTTCGGAATGAAAAAGCTAAATGCAATTTCGTTATAAATTTGATTGATTGATATTCGTGCAAACGAATTTAATGTCATTTTGTAATACCCAATTTTGTACCATTGGACTCTAACATTGGGGTGTTTAGTGCTCTTACAATTAAAATTGCACATGAAAAGAGAAAAAATATTCATTTTATTTGAAAAGTTCTTGTACCTATAAGTAGAAGCCTTGACACCCGTTTATCGGTGCGCCGGATAGAGGGCCTTGGGTTAATATAAATGAACTGCAATCCCATTTGCAGCATCAGACTGTGTTCAAACTAAATTGGAGGAACACAAAATGGTGATCACTCTTAAGTCTGAATTTCGAAATATACCAACAAACATTTTATTTTAGCATTTACCGAAGCATTTTACCGAAATTGAGAGACATTAAAATGGTGATAACGACTCACTGGATCGTATTTGAAATTTTGAATGAAACATGCTGCGTAAACAAAAATGGAGCATTTAATGCTTTGAAAATTGAACGGGAACTGAAGTAATTGTTTTATCATGTATCGACAGATGCTAAGTTTCAAGTCGACCGAAATATAATCACGTTGGGGAACTTTTTTGGCTGGGGTCTGTGGTCCTTCGGCATGGAGGGCCCCAGTTTGCAGGTTGTGCCCCCCCCCCCCCCCGTTAAAAAATCCCATGTGTGCGCGCCTGTTGAGAGATATGCACCATGTATGCTCCTTGGAAGCGCCCCTATCCTCACTGAAGGTCGCCCCCATCACCAAGTGCACCCCCATCTCAAAAGCAAAAGTTACACCCCTGGTGGCTGTATTGTCGGATAAGAACACATTCCTGGGATAAGGACGCATTCCTGGCGTATTTTCTTTTAAAGTTGCCGATAACTACGAATGGAGGCCGAAATCGGCCGTAAGGAGGTAGACAGAGAGGTTTTCGGACACGGGCTACAAGATGGCTATCTCAGTTTCAATCCCCATGTTAAAGGTGGCCCTTTTCCTTTAAAGTTGTACATACAGTCACTGTGCACTTGTGACTTGATTGCTTCCTACTTGGTGATCCATGGAGTGTAGAGATTCAGACTAGAGTAGAGAGGCTAGTGTAGGGCTGTAGACTGTTTCCTGTTACATTTTCCAGAAATACCGTCGAATTTCGACCTCTCTTGTTTGCAGGTGCTCAGCGATGACACCAAGAAGCGCGAGTACGATGCTTGGGGCGCCACACGGGAGCAGATGGGCAACGCCGGCCGCGGACAACCCGGTGAGGCCTCGAGTGGGCAGCAATGGTCTCGCATGCAATTCTGGAGCGTAGCTCCCGATTTACCGATAATGAAAATGATCTGTTGTTTTGCGGTATATGTAGTAGAGATCGCTAGTTGGCAGTTTCTGGTCGATGTCCGTGACACATTCATGCTCAATGTCCCAAAATGTGTCGATTAGGGTGGGAAACAACATCCAAATGAAATTCATTTTCCACTCTTTTCACCAATGTTTAAGAATTTTCCACTCCCAACCAAGAAAACCTAGATTTTTTTACCAAGAGCAGTTGTGTGGATGCCGGGTTTAGCATCAAACATTCTACACCCTAGAATAAAATGCATGTTTTTTGTCGTTTCTCACTAATTTTGGATCTAATCGAATCAGCAGTTTCCCACTCCCTCCCCTCTTTTTGGTGGGTAATTTTCCTCTCTGACACCCAAGACAAAACTCAATTTTGGGACACTGCTCATGCTTATGAATGCCAACCTTTACTTACCCATTTTTGGTCTGTATTTGCCAGGCGCCGGCGGCTTCGGTGGTCAGCAGTGGGACTTCCACTCCCAGGTCGATCCCGAGGAGCTCTTCAGGAAGATTTTCGGCGACTTCGGCCAGCGCGGCGGCGGCGGCGGTGGCTTCGGCGGGGACTTTGGCCAGAACTTCGAGGAGTCGCGCTTTGGCTTCGGAGCCTCGCAAGAGGTAGGTGTATTGCAAGACTAGTCTAAGCCAGCAACGCGATGCTCACTGCTCAACATCTCCATCAGTGATTACAGTTAATCGCAATGACCAAATACCGTACGTTCTGCCGCCGCCCCGCTGACGTTAGACGTACGTCCTGTCGCCGGCAGGTGGCCATGAACCTGACGTTCCAGCAGGCGGCGCGTGGCGTCAACAAGGAGATCACCATCAACACGGTGGATACGTGTCCGGTGTGTGGTGGAGCGCGCGCCGCTCCCGGTACCAAGGCCGTGCGCTGTCCGCAGTGCCACGGCACGGGCATGGAAACCATCAGCACAGGTTAGAATGGCCGCAGAGTTTTGTAATGATCAGTTCTGTTGTGATGAAGTGGTGCCAGTAGCAAAGATAAGAACATCTGCTGAGTCATGAATGATGAAATCGGGCTTTCAGATCCAAATAAATTAACATCAGTCAGCATTTCAGAACGGCTAAATGACCTTTAGGCTTAAAGGTGGTATGTTGACACAATAATTATGACAAGCTTTTAGTCTGGGTACTAAGATGAATTCTAGTTCTCCTTATGTAATGGAGACGCGTCAATTACCGTATCTCACTACGACGTCCTCTGCACAGATTTATCGCTAACATTTCTTGCTCCATTTTCAGGTCCATTCGTGATGCGTTCCACATGTCGCCAGTGCCAGGGCACGCGGATGTACATCCCGCACAAGTGTGTCGAGTGTAACGGCAAGGGCAGCACCGTGCAGCGCAAGACCATCAGCGTCCCGGTGCCGGCAGGTGGGTGAGACGAATGACGAAGTCGGGACTGGCTGGAATGGTGTGACTGAATGAGGGCGACTGGTTTGCATGGAATGTGTCTGGGCGGCAGGAGCGAGATCACTGTTGGGATTGGCCAAGTCTGTCTGACCATACACCCTTGTGTCTGACCAAATTAAAGGGACTATCCCACCTTCTAAAATGATGTTAAAACCAGTTAAATTGTGCCCGATTTTATACATTGGATGACCAGGAACACGGTTCTGGCATTTATTTTTCATTAAACATCTTAGGCTTCCCATATTCCAAACACAAACTTTCAAATATGTGACGTCACAGCCCAAAATTACTTCCTTCCCCAGGCCACATTACTGTCATAAAGCTGATTCTTTTTACTCTGTAGGCACCACAACAAAGTTCAGACCAAGTTTTAAGCGATTTTTCAACGAACAAACCCATTTAAATCAGAATGACTAAACGGGGTGACGTCACACTAACGGTCGCTCCATGTTGAAGATAGGGCCTTGTACAAGGCCCATTTTCAAAAGAAGGGAACGAATTTCTTCAACACCAAGAGGCCGCGGTGGTTGCAACCTAGATAGATAGTGGTTTCTGAACCTCGCCGCAAACTTGGCTATCTCAACTCAAACCCCATGTTAAAGGTGGGATAGTCCCTTTAATGAATGTGACCAAATTAATGAATGGTGTGAAGTGTTTCTGTATGATTGGCTGCTAGTGGTTATTGGCGTTTACACAGCTGCATCTTGCTGGTGTTTTGAGAGGGATGCGTAGATCGGAGACTGACGGATGGTCGATAGACAACGGAGTACGGGTAAACAGGTGGTACCTGTTTGTCTGGAGACTGATTTTGTTTCTTTCCTATCCCCAGGCGTGGAGGACGGCCAGACGGTGCGGATGCAGGTCGGCGGCCGGGAGCTGTTCATCACGTTCCGCGTGTCCCGCTCGGACTACTTCCGACGGGACGGCGCCGACGTCCACACAGACTGCTGGGTGGGCCTCACGCAGGCCGTGCTCGGCGGCGCTCTCAGGGTGCAGGTCAGTACACACATACCTAATGTGACCTGATCCGGGCGTGTCTGACGGGTCCTGACCCAAATGTGTTAACGATAGTCGATAAGTGACCTCTGATAGCCAAGTCTCTGCAGGGCTAAGTAATGAGTCTTTCGTTTGGCGCTGACGCTGTCACTACCGATGTAAGGGCGAATATGCAGTGCGATACCACACCGTCCTTTCGTAGCTCTCCACCTATGGATTATTAAAGGGACTATCCCACCTTTAACATGGGGTTTGAGTTGAGATAGCCAAGTTTGCGGCGAGGTTCAGAAACCACTATCTATCTAGGTTGCAACCCCCGCGGCCTCTTGGTGTTTGAAGAAATTCGTTCCCTTCATTTGAAAATGGGCCTTGTACAAGGCCCTATCTTCAACATGGAGCGACCGTTAGTGTGACGTCACCTCGTTTAGTCATTCTGATTTAAATGGGGTTGTTCGTTGAAAAATCGCTTAAAACTTGGTCTGAACTTTGTTGTGGTGCCTACAGAGTAATAAGAATCAGCTTTATGACAGTAATGTGGCCTGGGGAAGGAGGTAATTTTGGGCTGTGACGTCACATATTTGAAAGTTTGTGTTTGGAATATGGGAAGCCTAAGATGTTTAATGAAAAATAAATGCCAGAACCGTGTTCCTGGTCATCCAATCTATAAAGTCGGGCACAATTTAACTGGTTTTAACAACATTTTAGAAGGTGGGATAGTCCCTTTAAGTTCAGCATGTGACCGGTGACGGTTTGTCCCATAGGGCATCTACGAGGACCTGACTGTTCGGATACCGCCGGGCACGTCGTCCCACACGCGTATTCGGCTCAACGGCAAGGGAATCCGCCGGGTCAACGCGCACGGCTACGGCGACCACTACGTGCACATCAAGATCAAGGTGAGAACATCTTGTATCTTGTATCTTGTATTTTCATAAATCACCAACAGGCTTACGCCCAATGACAGGTGAAGTCACACGCACACGCATACATCAACATGCATAAATACCCCCCCCCCCCCCACACACACACACAAACCACTTCTTTGCATCCGACAGAGGCCGACTGTCACATAACGCACGCCAGTGTTGACGCATACGCCGATGCCTCTCGCTTGAGCCGCCCGATCGAGTCAAAGAAAATATCTGACCTAGGCGAGAACTCAAGAAACTGATTGACGCAGCGAGGGATGCGCACAAAAAGCCCTCCTGATATGGTGTTCACCCTGGCGAACGGCACATCAATTAATGGTGTGTTTCTGGTCGGCCTCGCGGATATATGGAGCTTAAAAGACCCAAGTAAATATGATGATGAGATGAAGCCTTTAAAAACCTTGCATAAAAACAGAACATCACACTTTGCGCGTCGTGCTCCTAAGTGTGGCACACGAAATGATGACAATAGGTCCGAGTACTTGAGCGACGAATTACAATTCGTGGTGCGACAAGCCAGCCACATCAAAAACTTGTGTTGCACCCTCTCCACACGAACGAGATGAGATTTGGCCACTCCGCCCCATATCACTGAACAGTACTCGACCACAGATCGAACATTGGCGTAATAAGCCGCCAACACGGCCTGCCTGTCCAGCTTACACTTGGGGGAAGCCGACTGGAACGTTCGAATGAGGAGCCCGAGCGCTCTATTAGCCCTTGTGACCACTGAATGCACGTGATCGGCGAAATCTAGCTTTTGATCAAGAATGATGCCTAAATCTCGGATCGATGTGACATTTTCCAAAATAGTGCCATTGATCGAATATGTCGAGTCAATGGGGCTACGTTTAAGTGTGATTTTAAATGACTTGCATTTGGAGGCATTTAGCTTCAATTTCCAGTCGGCCGCCCAGCGAGTCACTGCGTTCAAGTCACGCTGGAGCGTCTTAACATCATCATCGGACCTAACCTCGTGAAACAACTTCAGATCGTCAGCAAACAGCAAACAGTTGGTGGAAATAACAGTTGGCAGGTCATTCACATAGAGAGAGAACAGCAACGGAGAGATGTGACCCCCTTCCGGTGTTCCAGACACAACCGGAACCCACTCGGACACTTTCCCGTTCAACACAACGCGTTGTTTGCGCCTCTCCAAGTAGGACCTCAACCACTGCAGAGCGTTGCCGTCAACGCCGTACATCCTTTCGAGCTTATGCAGTAGCAAACAATGATTGACACTCTGAAACGCGCTGCTAAAATCTGTGTACACGGTATCCAGCTGGGATTTGTTTGAGATGGCCGCCCATCCGTGCGACAGGAAGGACGCGAGGTTCGTGGCGCATGACCGGTTTGGGACGAATCCGTGTTGGAACGGAGAAAGGTGAGGCTGGACATGTTGGAAGAGTTGCTCGCGTACAATCTTTTCAAAGACTTTTGCACATAGGGGAAGAAGCGATACAGAGCGGTAGTTAGCTGGATCGTTCCGCGATCCTTTTTTGAAAATGGGAACTATGTTGGCTTCAGACCATTTTTCAGGAAAGATACCGGATGAAAGGGATATGCGGAAAAGTTTACACAGAGGGGCGGCCAATTCATTTGCACACTCACGGAGAATGCGGGCGCTCAATCCGTCAGGACCACACGCCTTGCTGACGGAGAGCTCCCGGAGTAAACCACGCACAGCCTCCTCCGACACATTGAATTCCGACAGACGGTGGTCAGCACAAGAAGGTACGTTGGGGAATACGGCGACGGTGGGGTCGGAAAATTTCGACGCAAATGTGCGGTTTAGCAGATTTGCCTTTCCAATGTCATCCAAGACTCGCTTGCCGCTGCTCATTAAAACAGGAAGACCTTTAGAGTGCTTAAAACACTTCACAAACGTCCAGAAACGCTTCGGATTTGTGCGAAACTCGCCTACTAAGCCCTTGAGATACTCGGTATACCTACCGTCTGAAAGTCTCTTGAAGTCTGCTCGTTTTTGTCTGAACGATTCTTTAATGTTGTGATCTGTTGGGTGTCGTTTGAGACGTCAAAACGGCGACGGGTTGGACGGGCAGGATCGTGTTTGTGTTGCGTTGGCGTTTCTCATTTGTTCGTGGTATATTTTGATCATATGGATAAAGATGCCTATATTTTTATTTGGTATGATGAATTCGACACCTTTTTTTAAACCCCACATCTGCTCTCCGGTGAATTTCCGGGAAGCACGAAAGATCTCTTTTTAGAAGTATCCAATTGTCCGATCCTAATCAAATTTGTGTGTTCGTAAACTTGCTCTGGCATTGCTTGATCTGCCAAGACAGACAAACTTGAGAAAAATCGAGTGACTGTACCTTTTTTGAAGGTTTCTAAACAACTTGTCTGAACTTCACGGGAGAACAAATGTGGGGTTTAAAAAAAGGCGTCGAATTGTCGGACCACTTTATCTGAACCGCTTCTGGTTGCACTGACTGGGCCTATTTGGCCATCCCCTGCTGCCACTACCCACCCCGACGCGTATAAACCGATCTTTCCGTAAGAAGTTGGGCCTTATTCCCATCTGACCCCTGTTTTGTGTTTCCAGGTGCCCGATAAGCTAGACGATCGTCGAAAGGCGCTGTTCCAGGCGCTGGCCGAAATGGAGTCGGGAGGAGCGGGTACAGTCGACGGCGTCACGGGCACCAAGGATGGTACGTACTGGCCGGGAAAACGTACCTTTGTACTCGGGTGGGAGTGATAGATGGGGTACCTAGGACCAAGGGATACCAAGGACGGTACGTAACGGTAGTGCTGAGCTGTGGGGAAAGAGAGAATGGAGGCTATGTCTATGTACGACTGGTACTGACCTGGGCCTCGTTTCATAAAGCGAGTCCGTAACTTACGCCGGTGTTTGGTCTTGTATTGCAAGTGCATGTGAAGCGATAGATTTATTTCCCCTTCTCCCTTCTGTTCCTGCTTGCAAGATAAATAAATTCAATGATTCAAACTAACGTCATCGCTTCACATGCACTTGCAATACAAGACCAAAAACTGCCGTAAGTTACGAACTCGCTTTATGAAACGAGGTCCTGGAGAAGGGAATGGGTACTATGGGCGGCGTCACGGGCACCAAGGATGGTAGGGACCGCTGTGTACGAGGGGAGTACTCTCGTACGTCAAGGAGAGAGGGCAACGGTACTGTGGACGCCGGACGGCCGGTTTCGGGTACCAAAGACTTAACGCAGTACGCACTTCTTTATGGACCTTGGATGGGGGAATGGACCTGGACGGTACGTACCGCCTCTACTAGGCGGGGAGGGGGGAGGGAGACCAGTCACCGTGAACGTGCAGTTGCATTGGAATGTGAGTCGGAGGAACAGTAAGAAGAGGCGAATACGATAAGTTAAGCAGCAGCACAGATGGCAGTGACTTGACGTGCCACTGCAACTGGCCGGGGGTGGGGGAGGGTGAGGCGAGTCATTGGGGGTGACCGGTGGCGTGGCGTCATCGAGGGCCAGAATCTTGTACTGAAACATCAATATTTTACTTGCTTATTAGATTCCATAATTTGCAAGAAGCCGATCCTAGATTGGCTTGGTAATTATAACAAATAAAAAGGCCATCAAAAACCAGCTACAGCGGCTACGGTAACAATTCGTCTTGATCTTCTCCAGAGGCGTAGAAGACGGTCAGACAGTTTCGTTGACCGTAGTTACGGTAACGACTATCGATTACAATTTGTTTCAGCCTTGAATATTTATTTACAAGCCCTCGTCAGAAACGCAGCTCCATAGTCTGTGGCCGCTGTCAGGTGTGTTTGTCAGCCACTTTCCATCGTTCAGTTCTACATTATTCTCATCTCCCACCCCCTTCCACCTTCCGGCTTTCCGGCTTTCCTGCTTATCGGCTTTCCGGCGTCCAAGTAGATTGTTACGTTTACTGTTAAAGCTGTGATTACTATCTAAGTAATATTATTCAGTTAATATTCAAGTAAGCAAAGTACTCAATTCATGATCTCTATATCTGTATTCTGACCAATCTATCCCGACATCGCCCAATAATACACACTTAGATTTTCTTATGTCGCGTGCTCTGTACGCAATGGGACCATCACTTCATATATGACACATCCTCCCTTTTCTGAACATGCTCAGTTGACTCTCCTCCTGCTTCTGAGTAGGTATGGAGATCGAGTCACTTGCGCCTGTTCTCTGTGTTGAGCCTGTTGTGGCGTCGCAGCCACTTGTCTTGGTACACTGGGGACGGGTATATACATATACTCATCATCAGATGACTGGCGTGTCGCTGCACCCCTTCCTGGTCTGTCCGGTGCCGGTCGAGCCCTTTCGAAGGTCGGTCGTGACCCGGCCTCTTGATACGGAGGCTTGTCCTGACCCGGGTCACGGCGGAGGTGACGTCTATTCCGGCGATACACGCCACCGTCATCGTCAGTCTTCACGAGATATGATCTGTTCCCCAGATACTTGCTGACGGTAGCCGCCCTCCACTGGTTACGTCCTGGTGCAGGGGCCATGTAGACATGCTCCCCTTCGCTGAGCATCGGAAGATCCTTTGCACCTCTGTTGTAATAGACGGCCTGCTTCTGCTGGCGATCAGCTAATCGGCTGGGGACGTCGCGCACTGTCTTGGGTTTGAGAAGTGACTTTGTAGTTGGGAGCAGTGTGCGTGTGCGGCGACCGAACAATCTTTGTGCCGGTGAGCTACCGATGCTTTCGGTCGGTGTGTTGCGCCAGTCGAGCAGCGCCAAGTAGGCATCTCGGCCGTCCGCTTCTGCCTTTATCATGAGATTCTTGAGGATCTTCACAGCACTTTCCGCCTTGCCATTTGACTGGGGATATCCTGGCGAGCTCGTCTGATGTCTGAAGTCGAACTTCTCAGCGAATTGTCTGAACTCAGCTGAATTGAAGGGCGGCCCGTTGTCCGTCATCATTTTTTCGGGCAATCCGTGTCTTGCCATCTGGGACTTTAAGATCCTTATCACTTCACTTCCTCTCTTGTCACTAAGCCTATCACATTCAATGAAATCCGAGAATGTATCAACTGTCACCAGATACGAGTGGTTCTTGAACTCCATCATGTCGCAAGCTATGTACTGCCATGGTCGCTGTGGTATATCTTGCGAGCTCAGTGTCTCCCGTTGTTGTTTTCTACCGTACTCCAGACATACACTGCACCTGGTGACCAGCTCCTTCAGTTCCTCCGTCATACCTGGCCAGTATATCGCCTCACGAGCTCTTCTGAGGCATCCCTGCAGTCCGATGTGTGCCGAATGCACTCGCTCTTTCAAGATGTGGCGGATGGACCTTGGAATCACGATCTGCTCGCCTCTCAGGACAAGCCCATCCCTAGTGGAAAGCTCTTCTTTGACGTTGTAGTACGGTCTCAGCTGGTCAGATAGCTGCTTCTTGCTGCCGGGCCAACCGTTCTTGATCATTCTGATCATTTCTTGCATCTCTTGATCTTCTTCTGTAGCTTGTAGAATGAGCTTTGTCGTTCTGTCTGACACCGGACTGTGTTCCAAGGCATTCATGTTTCTTATTTCCACTTCGTCTGACGAAATTTCTTCTATGAGGCATACATGACCCCTGAGTTTGTCGTCTGTGGCCTCGGCCTCATGTGCTCGGCTGAGAGCATCCGCTATGTACATCTCCTGGCCACGTTTGTAGACAACTTCAAAATCATACTTCTGCAGCTGGAGCATCATTCTTTGGAGTCGTTTTGGTGCGCTCACCAGCGGCTTTTTCATGATCGACTCGAGAGGTTTGTGATCTGACTCCACCTTAGTTTTCTTTCCTTGGGTGAAGCGTTCAAACTTGTTGAGTCCATACACAATAGCCAAAAGCTCCTTTTCGATTTGAGCGTAGTTCTTTTCGGTCTCATTGAGCGCTCTTGATGCATATGCTACCGGCTGGCCGTCTTGCATAAGACAGGCTCCCAGCCCATGGCTGGATGCATCAACCTGTACCACAACCTCTCTCTTGACATCATAGTACTTCAACACGGGATCTTGAGTTATGATCTCCTTGATTTTTTCCAATGACCGCCTGTGTACCTCCTCATAGATGAATGCATTTTCTTTCTTGAGAAGCGATCTGAGAGGTGCAGAGGCTTCCGCGAGGTTGGGGGCGAACCGCTGTAGATAGTTCACCAGGCCAAGCACTCTTTGCACACCTTTGCGGTCCTCTGGGGCAGGCATGTTCTTGACTGCCTTTACCTTGTCAGGATCTGCCTTCATGCCATTAGGTGTGAAGATGTGGCCCATATACTTCACTTCAGTCTGCCTGAGCTTCATTTTCTCCATGTTCAGTTTTAGTCCTACGTTTCTGCACCTTTCTAGCAGACATAACAGTTTTCTATCATGATCTTCCACGGCTTCTGAGTGAGAGGCACCGATCCCGTAGACGAGTATGTCGTCTGCTATTGCCATCACGCCTTCCAAGCCTTCGAGAGCTTGATGGAGTCTTCGCTGGAATTCTTCGGACGCTAGACACAGGCCAAACGGCATGCGTCGCCAGCGATACCTACCCCACGGTGTAGCGAACGTCGTGAGGTAGCTACTGGCCGTGTCCAGCTCGACATGCCAGTACCCACTTTTGGCGTCGCAGACAGTGAACACTTTAGCGTTTGCTAGTGCGGGAGTCAAGTCTTCTATCGTGGGCAGCGGATAGTGGTTTCGTTTGATGGCCGTGTTTAATGGCTGTGGATCGATACAGATCCGAATTCCTTTTGTGGGCTTGCTTACGGCTACCATGGCGGAGACCCAGTCAGTCGGTTCTGACACCGTCGAAATGATGCCGTCTTTCACCAAACGGTCCAGCTCGTCCTTGATGTCCTGCTTCATTGCTTCTGGAACCGATCTTGCAGCTAGTTGTACTGGTCTCACTGACTCATCAGTTTGGATATGAAGCTTTCCGGGTAGCTTTCCGACCCCAGTGAAGATATCTCGGTACTGCGCATGTAAATCATTTGTTGAGAAGTCTTTTCTCTGCTTCTTTGTTTGTGCTTCTTTCCGGTAGCGCTTGCTTGTGTACCTTCAGGTCTGCTTTTGCAGCTCTGCTCTTCTCACCAGCCCTGTTTCCTCTTGCTTCATTTTTGTAGAAGCCAGTCTCTTTGCTCTCATTTACATCTAAATCATTCACGTAGTCGATGTTCTCCGACCTTACTTCGATCAACTCCATTGTCTGCAGTGTGTTCAGCCCAAGCAGTGGGGTGAAGTCTTCGCGTACCACCAAAAATTCCACCACATATCTTGACCCATTCTTCGGGTTCAGAACGTCTATCTCGGCTTTGCCAACGACTTTGGTTGTGCTTTTGTTGAACATGACGAGCGATATATCGCACCGCTTAAGCTTCTTCATGCTGCTGTCCACACAAGCTTTTTTGTAGACGTGCTGCGGTATTATGTTGGCAGACGCACCCGTATCCAGCTGGAACCGCTGTAAGTGGTCACTGCCGAGCAGCAAGTTTGCGAACAGCTTGCCTGCGTCTCGCGATGACAGAGCACCGATCTCCAGAGTCAGAGTGTTCTCCGTTTGGTGCTGACTCGCGCCGTCTTCTACACAGCCGTCCTGGACTGCATCCGGCTGAAGTAGACGCACTTCTGCGTACCGGCATTTCGTTGCAAAGTGGTTCCGTCGGCCACATGCTTGACATGCTTTTCCCCACGCAGGGCAGCTCTCCTTTTTGAATGGGTGCATTCTCCCACAGAATTTGCACTCGCGGGGCCTTGGCGTTTCATGTCTGTTAGCCGCAGCAAGACCGCGTTGTACCGGGGGACGCCTTTGTAGTGCGTGCACCTCGGCGTTGGTGTCTCCGGCGAAGTCCTTCATCTGTTTTTGTGTCGCCTCGTGTGCTTTGACAACTGAAATAGCCTTGGCTAGAGTCAAATCTGGCTCCTGTAGGAGACGCTTACGTACAGACACGTCAGGGACTCCCAAAACGATTCTGTCTCTAATAAGACTGTCTTCTAGATCTCTGTAGTTGCAGGATTTGGCCAGTTTTCTCAATTCGGCTAGATACAACTCAACGGGCTCTTCGTTTTCTTGGTTTCTTGAGTTAAATTTGTATCTTTCAAATGTCTCGTTTTTAGATCCCCCGCAGAACTCTTCGAACTTCTCAAGTACAGTCGCTAGTTTCTTTTGATCTTCTTCATTTGGACACAATCCGTCCAGTACGTTCAAGGCTTCAGGCCCCAAACATGTCAGTAGAGTCGCCACTTGAACATTTTCCGGCCTTTCATTTAAGCCGGTTGCGATCGAATAATTATCCCACTGTCTTTTCCATGTCTTCCACGGTGCAGCCAGAGAATCGGTCTTTGACAGTGTCAGTGTGAGTGGTGGTGGAAGTGGAAATCCTTGCGCCATGTTTATCAACTTATTGAGAGCTACTCACTTATTCATCTAAAGTAATAGGTTCAATAAACTTCTGACACCATGTTACGTTTACTGTTAAAGCTGTGATTACTATCTAAGTAATATTATTCAGTTAATATTCAAGTAAGCAAAGTACTCAATTCATGATCTCTATATCTGTATTCTGACCAATCTATCCCGACATCGCCCAATAATACACACTTAGATTTTCTTATGTCGCGTGCTCTGTACGCAATGGGACCATCACTTCATATATGACACATAGATGAGCCAATATGTTTTCACCTTTCAGCCGAGCGTTTTTGGTAGCTTGGTTCCCGCGCTTGATCGACCTTTTTCGCCAAACAATTCACCATGCCATTTTTTTTCTTTTTTGCTGTCGTGATCGGTCTTTTTTCGGTTTCCCCGCCCATGCGTCCATCTCTGCTTAAACGTCTGTCCGTCTATGCCCTTTGTCACAAATGCAGCACGGGCTCCGTGAAAACTCCAAATCGTCAATCGTCATCCGTCTACCCGCCTCCGTTCCAAGATCCATTGGTCCATCATCAGGCGCGATCGTTCTCAACTCGTGCACTTCTTACCGCCTTGTGGGACGGACCGGAGCGATCATTTTGCCCGTCGTGTTCACAGACAATGTGGCTGACAAACCGCTGGCAAGTTCAGAGGAGCAGACCAAACAGGAAATAGAGAGCCAAGAGGGCCTCTTCTCTAGGATAAAGAAAGCAATATTCGGCTAAGTGAGTTTACTTGTGTGTGGTGGGTGGGCGTGCCGTCTTTCCCTGTTCGGGAACGCAGCTTACTGAAATGACGCTGGAGTGCTTATCTCTCCGTTACATAGCAAACTGCTAACATTGTGGTCCTGCTTTACCCCACATTGTAAACTTCATTGACCTTTCGCAAACTTTTCAAAATCATGCAATCTATCTATTGCATAGGTTGCAGGTCTTGGTGCTTGATCTTGAAATGGTGCTGCATTGGTGGATTTTTTACCTCTATTGATTCCGTCATATCTTCTCTACGTTTCTCATTTTATCATCTGTACACGAGTAAGACACATTTGGTACAGATGATAAAATGATGACACATTTTGATCACATCTAGTCTACACGGATGTTTTTGTATCATATGTATTTAACGTACCTATTTGATATTTAGCAGCGTGCGTGTTATTTTTTAAAGAATATTCGCAGAGAAAAGCACGAAGCTGACCTGTTTTAAAATATAGTCACAAACAACGTTACCAGTTACCAAACCATGCTTCCGGATGCATTTAGCGGAGCGGATATCTCTCGTTCAATGATACATGCCTGTGTTGGGGTGACTGACGTCGAGTGCCCGGGTCTGTGAGACTGAGATTCCTCCTACCTCACTGTGTATGTGCCTGTTGCAGGAGCCCGTGTATCGACGGACGAGCTGGGCGGTCTGCTGGGCTGCCCTCCTTATTTACTGTGTCTGTGGTGTTTCAGGAGCCCGTGTATCGACGGACGAGCTGGGTGGTCTGCTGGGGCCCCTCCCAACTCACTGTGTCTGTGCCTGTTACAGGTACCCGTGTATCGACGGACGAGCTGGGTGGTCTGCTGGAGCGGATCCGGGCGGCTCTGTCACCGCCGGCGCCCGGAGAGGAGACGGGGAGTGACGCAGCTGAGACGAGCAGTGGCGCAGCCGACACGGGCAGTGGCGCAGCTGAGTCGAGTAGCGCCGCAGCTAGTAGTGAGAATAGTACCAGCGGGGAAAGCACAGCGTCCAGCAGTGGGGACACTACAGCGCCCAGTGGTGACGGTGCCGCCTCCGAACGGGACTCGGAACACTCGGAGGAAAAGCGCAAGCGGCGGGAGCACGGGTGAGGCAGAGAGGGGTGCTGTTCGATAGCCTGGTATGGGAATCTGCGGCGGGACTGCCACATTCTGTGGGCCCGGCCCGTCGGGCTGTCAGTGCTGGTTGGGGCTGCCGGAGGTGGTGCGTTTAGTCAGGAGCTGCCGTGCGACTGGCCTGACTGAAGTATCACGCAGACTGCCCTGCTCGTCTCTGGAAGGTGAGAGCGTCCCGTGTCGCTCACGTCACTGAAGTACCCGACGCTGCCGCTCGTGTGCCCCGCTGGCCGCTCTGCTCGCCTCTGGGGCGGGTGGTGAGGCGTCCCGCGGCCGTAGACTCGCCACCATGCCTGGCTCTGCCGCCGTCGGAGACCCGGCCCCGGACAGTCCGGGGGCAATTGTGATCTGTGAAATGAATGATATGCATTTTGTTAGTGGAATGATGACATCACAATAATGACGTACGAATGATTGCCGTGCGTTTTGCTCTGGATTTGCGACACTAGGCGGATAGTTGCTTCGGTGTATTTGTCATCTTCCAGTTTTCACATAATAGCAATGGACATTTGGCACAAACAAGAGAACAAGCACCACATCGAGCAACGCTTGCACACAAGTTTCGTCGGGTCTTCCATTGCTCGTACGCGATTCCTATCCAGTTAGGGATTTCGACTATGTCACCAAAATGAGGTGACGTGGCCCAAATGTTCTTCTTGGAAAATAGGCAGTTCGATATCAGCACACATTCATTAATTTCTATCAATCGGTGCCGACGATTGTCGTTGCCCGTTTCCTGGATCTCTGCTCATCAATCGCCCGGCCACGTGGTGTGTGTATGTGTATGCGGCGGTCGGCCGGGCTCGGACCGAGCAGCGGTAGCTCATCAATCGGCCCGGTCGGCCTGGGCCGTCCAATTTTCCCCGCTGTCTCTGCCAGCGTCGCCGCCATATTTCCGCCCAGCGCGGCCCGCTTAGCTCCGCCGGCGGAAAGGCTCCATCAATAACCCCGGCCGAAAACGTGCAACGGAAACAAAATTACTCAGCGGTAAATGACTAAAACATATTGGCTGGTGAGCGGCCCGGCGGCGGCGATTAACGGCGCACGATGAATGTGGCGCCGTCTCTCCGGGCCGGCCGGCGGCCTTTGTGGCGCCCGGTGCGTCACTATCGTCTCCGGGGCGCTGCACGCGCCGCGGCGCTACTGATGGATCGACGACGGGCTCCATTGTGACCACCAGTCGCCGGCTAATCCATCGATCCCAGCCGCCCGGGTCTCTTACAGGAGAGCGGTCTTTTACTCTCGGCAGTCATGGGAGAGTGGGGCAACGGTTTCTACAGCAGAGTAATGCAGCTGCTGCACAGCGCGCAGCAGAGCAGCCTCCATTCCTCGGTGTGGATGAGTCTTTCGTTCCTCTCGGGTTAGAGACCTTCTGCTCCCCGCTCACAACCACAGGAGAGCAGCCATCCACGACTTCGATCCAGGAGAAGTGCGCCCACCCATGGGTCAATCCTCCCTCCTCTCAATAGTAAAGCCTGGTATGACGACCCTTCCTTACCCACAGTGAAATAGCTCGGCCTGACAGGAAGGTAGTCAATAGTCCTCCGATCCTCGAGAGCAGCTCATCATTCCTCGTAGTGGAACATCCTGATGAGACAGCTCTGCTTCCAGTTACTGCGGCCCAGCCGTGCAGGGAAGACCTTCGTTCACCACAGCTACAAGGGAGAAGCCTGCCATGAGAATAGCTCGAACTCCTTACAGCAGTCTGTAAGTACCGTAAAGTGGGGCTATTTGAGACAGTGGGGCTATTTGAGACAGTATTTAAAATCGCTATAAGATGAAGATCGTTTGATTTTTGTGTGATATTTTTGCCCAGGGAGGTGTGAAATCGGGCAGTAAATCGCCTGATCAAAAAAAAGCATAAATTTTAAGTTGTTTTTATCTTATAGCAATTTTAAATACTGTCTCAAATAGCCCCACTGTCTCAAATAGCCCCACCTTACGGTAGGTAGTGCAGTGAAGTTTCCTGCTCCTCACAAGAGAGCGACCTAACGTTAGAGCCAGCATCCACTCCTATTACAGTGTGCTCTGTTATCTTGGTCGCATAACTTATATCATCATTTCTCCCCTCTCCCATACCCATGGTCCCCTGAGCGGCTCAGCATGGGACTCGGGAGCTGCCCGAGGGTGAAAGACCGCCTCCTCCTTAGACTTTAGTGCGCTCCGTGACCGACAGATGGCAGGAGTAGTACCGTCTGGTGGTGCGTTTTGTGCCTGTCATCCACATAGTTGGAGGCGGTGGTTGCTGGTCCCGGGGGCCCCGACGTAAATTGTTGTGTTTGAGCATGCTGCCAGTGTGTGCTGACAATCACGCTGAGGTTATATAAAACGTGGATAGAGCATGAGGAATTACATAGGCCACTTGAGTTTATATTTGTGCCGATATCACCGTACGTAAAAGCGTGTTGCGTGCGGATTACGACCATGTCAGTCTGTGTGTGGACGTTAATTCTTGTAATTCTTTATTGGAGCCTGTGACGCGGAATGATATGGTTATCGACATTCTAGAGTTGTCCCTGTTTCTGGCAAGGTGATAAGCGTCCTCTGATAAGCGGTTGGTTCGCTCTCGTGGGCTCTAAGAATGTTTCTCCCTTACTAAACCTCTCGATTCATCACAACTCATAAGGATCATGCGGTGGCGGTTTTAGTTTTTCGTCCCTCCTGAAAATTTCCTTATTTCTGGTAAACAATGGCAATGGGCCTTACATAACATACCACTGATTATTGACTCGTACTAGTGGTTGTGGAAACGATAGCCTCCTTATACCAGCCGTTCGTCCCACCAGTTACTGGTCGCTGAGAGTTGTCGACATCAATAATCGTCTTTGCCAACAGTTTCATTCTGGGAAATCGATCCATAGCTCAAAGACCAATGTCACGATTCACGGTGAGACAAATCACAGTGCAGTTAGGTGGGAGTGTTGTAGGTACTCGATGTCTGGAATTCAATGTCCTGTTTCTGCTAAATAATACGAGCTCGCGGAATGACTCAGGGTCGGTCATATCATACCTACCAGAAAAATAATATTGCAGCTCTCGACAAGCCACGCGATTCCCTTCAGCTGATCGTCAGATGTGAACATGATTTTGCTTTTAGGAGATCCATGGTATCTCACAATTGCGGCACGCCGTGCGTCTGCATACGCGCTCCTCCCACATCAAAGCAGCTGTATTCCGGTTTGAAAGGCGCCCTCAGAGTCGACTGTTTTATGTTAGCTGACCTCGGAATGCGTAGTGTTGCACGCATCGGTCCAACCGGAAATTATACACCCGCACAAATGATAGTGCTAAGTGGTGTTACATGCTTGTAAACCTACTAGGAATCATGTCACTTTCACTGGTCCATTAACCGTGACTCATGTTTTAGACATCTAACGGCTCACTGTGACTCATCAGAGCTGTTAGAGCCCCGCCATAACTCACTGTTCGGTCCTTTACACCGTTTAAATGTGATTCCTGCCTGGATCGTCATTGGTTCATTATGACTCCTGTTCGAAATGCCATTGGCTCATTGTATTGCACATCAGGTGACTTTCCACACACATTGGGCTCTTACACTATTACAGAGCCATCGTAAAGCCAGCGGCACCATTTGGCAAAGATAAACTCAGTCAGGATTTTAGCGCGGCAGGGCTAATTAAACGGTCATTTCCCTTCATGCAAACTGCAGAGGCTGTCAACCATTCCCTGGACCCGTAGTGTTGTTCGTATCGTCAGTTGTCACCCAGGAGCTCTGTTCAAACCACGGCTCCAGAACCCGTGACGAGACTCCTCAGTGTCCCCTGGTTTGCCGTCGCCGATAAAAACCCTCGTTTGAGACATGGTGCCGTCATACACAGCTGAGTTCTCTCTCGCCCGCCGGCAGAAAAACGTCTCCGAAATACTGCTCGGAGAAACACGGCTCTCATCGGGTGCTGTCGGCGGGTAATTTGTGTCCGCGCTGTCTGCGAGGGAGCGTCGCCCGCTACGGGGTGCGTGACCGCCGCCCCACCGAGGGGCAGGGGTCGAACGGGGCACCTCCAGCTGCGTTCTGCACTGGTCCGAACAGGGTAGGATATCGCACAGACGCGAGTCGCCCTCGCCCTGCTAGTCCGATAACCGTGGAGCCTTTTGTAGATTGTAGCTACAAAAGGCAAAATGTCCTATACGCTGATGGCCGAGCAACACAAGAAACGCTGTGCGTGGTTGATGCTGTCTCACAATCGAGGCCAGCGGTTTTTATGAGGCAGTTTTCGACAGCACCGGCTGAGTCTGGCTGACGGTGATTGGGTGAGGTGGCGCCTTCGACGCCGGATATCCGCTCCTTGGCACAAATTGCGACGTTGATAGACGGTGTTCCCCAGTGGTTTTGAGCTGTGTGACATGTGAGCTGGCTTCTGGGAGCTAGCGGTCGTCTGGGCTGTTACCGAAATTTGGCTGACACGCTTCAAACACTGCTGGGAGCTGGTTAGGCACATTCACCACAGGACATTTTGTAATAGGCTGATAACCGTGCTTATTCCGTTGTGTTGTGACTGAAGTAGGTACCCGGCGTTGACCCCCTAAATAAGTACGCATGCGTACTTATATACATATATGGCTATATGGCTAGTGGCTACCCTTTATGCATAAAGAGAAGCAACTAGCCATATTCTGGATGAGGAAGCATTTGGTTCGGTCCAAGACGCTTAATTTTTAACTGTTGACACATTTGTGACATTTTTCAGATCCCGCCCAGGCATCCATTGCTCAGGACCGCGCTCCCGGCGCGGCGGGAAGGGAGTCTCGTGGTCCGCTTCTCCGGGGTGGTCCGAGGTCTGTGGTCCGTGGGACCGCTGTCCCGCGGACCGCCTACTGCGAGCTGCTGGAGGTGGGCCCGGCGGTTTATTGTCTCGGCAGCGGACTCATTTTGGCTGTAATATCGCTCGTAATTGACTGAAAGTCAAGTTCCATGGTACACGCCTACCATACCGCTGCCCGACGGGACGGTCGACGGCCGCCCTCACTAAATTTGCACAGTTCGACACGGCTCGAGTCAGCCCTCGTATGCTCTTTATTGGCTGAAAACTGGTTCGCCGGTGGTTTCTCCCTTGCTTAGATAGTTGTATGATTAACTTCCCTATTCAGTTTCCACAGGATTTACCCAATGTCTGAGGAGCAGGTGCGAAGACGTCCGGCGCCCGACCTCGGGTAAAGGTTTCGCTACACTGCTCCCCCGTAACACCCTGACACAGTGCCGCCCCATTTTGTCCTGAACAGGCATGAAATCCATCTTCTTTCTGCGGACAACTGCTCTGGACCGGCGCTCAGCCATTGAAGGCCGGGAAGGAATCGGACACTTTATTAGGACGGCTGGGGTCCCCTAGCTTCCTACACGGCCTTCCTTGTGTCGCGCTGCGGCGGTGGCGGCGCGGCGCGGCATTGTCGGCGCGCACCT